CAGAGTAAATGATAGTCAATATTAAGTTAACCTAAATAGCATTTAGAGGTCAATGTAAAAGATAAAGTAGGTTCTAGGTGACGTCCAGGCATTAATAAACTCCTAGGCTGTGTTGGTGGAGACTCGATGCTATTGGATCAGTGAATTTGACACAGCGGACAAGTCACGGCTTTACCTTTCCAGTACCTACCTCCTCTAGGTCCCAGTGCTGTCCCGGGATCCTGCCTGCCCGATGGTCCACTAGAAATGGCCAGACCGCCCAGACCTTGCTTGCCCAAAATAGACAAGAGCCCATTCTTGCCGTATGCCACCGCTCGTTACTGCCGTTAACCTAAATCAAACCCACAGAAATGTGCGTGCAGTAACGGGTGCAATATCATCACAATTCATGTTGACTTATGACCTATTAAGGCAGTTGGGCAGGAAGAAGACAAGGCAAAGCAAGACGAAGCGAGTTAAGACATTTTCCCCCAAGGGTGTCTCGCTTATCCCCGGGCCCACGCATCATTGCAAAAGAACCTACGTCTAAGTCCATCGCAAATCAACGTCAAGTTCGTTCTTTTTTTTGCTTTACTTTGCTTCTTATTGCCTGCCGCCGCAGAAGCGCCGCATTTCCCACAACAGCAGCTGAGGAATGAGGGCTGCTGCTCTTCGCCTCGGCCCGCACTCCTCCGCTTTACACCTACGTAGATCAAAACCATTGCCCAGAGCCTCTTCCCTACCCCCTCGTCAAAGACGCCCCTTCGCTATGGTCTCGTCCTCGCCAAAGCCTGAGGGCTCACCCTCGGATGAGCAATTCTTTATGGATTCTTTCCAGGATCTCGATTTTCAGGGCGAGAATGGTCTCACACCCAGCCAACCAGCGTCCGATCCACCACTAACATCTACCACCAACAATAACAATAAACAACAACAAATTCCCAAAAAAGCCAAGCAAAAGAAGAAACAGGATCTACCTCAAGTCTCGGCTACAGATGAGCCCCTTATTACACCGGTGGGAGACCCGTGGCCCCGGCCCTACCACTTTGAAGGCGATGGGTTGCGCCGGGTAGTACCATACCACTACACATACAACACCCACTGTAAAGAGAGATGGCGCAACAGACCCCTTCTCGAAATCTACGAGTCTGAGTTTAGAGACCGGCCGCTTGAGTACTATCGGCAGTCTATGATACGGGGAACCATCTTTGTCAACGGTCGTCGGGTCGGACCCGATTATATTCTGCGAAATGGTGACCTCATTTCTCATACCCTGCATCGCCATGAACCTCCGGTTACCGAGGACCCTGTGCAGATCATCCACGAAGATGAAGATATGATTGTTATTAACAAGCCTGCTGGTGTTCCCGTCCACCCCGCTGGCCGATATAATTTCAACTCGGTCGTTGAGATCATGAAGTCAGACCGCGGTCCAGCATTCTTGCCGTATCTCTGCAACCGTCTAGACCGCCTCACAAGCGGCATCATGTTTATTGCAAAGAACCCGACTGCGGCGGAGGCTTTAGGCATCAAGATCAAGGATCGCACAGTGAGAAAGGAATACATTGCTCGGGTGATGGGCGAGTTTCCTGATGGCGAGGTCGTCTGTGATCAACCCATCCTCCAAATATCCCCCAAGCTTGGACTCAACCGAGTACGCGCCAATGGCAAGACCGCGCGGACTGTATTCAAGAAACTGGCGTACTACCCAGAAGCTGAAAGCGACGATGTGGACGAGCGGCCCAAGACACCCGAGCAGCTCCAAGATGAGAAGCATCGGCCTTGGGTGAACAAGAAGGGATACTCGATTGTCCGCTGCCTTCCTGTTACGGGACGTACTCATCAGTTGCGTGTTCACCTTCAGCATCTTGGCCACCCTATTCAAAACGATCCCATTTATGCCAACCGACGAGTGTGGGGTATGGATCTAGGACAAAACGACGGGGATGCCATTCAAAATACAGACGAGGACATCGTCAGCCGTCTGTCTCGCATGGGCAAAGACGAAGTGGCCGAAGCTGTCGCTTACTACGACAACATGGTGGATAAATATGAAGAAAAGAGGGCCGAAAAGTTGACCGGTGAGCTTTGCGAGATATGCCAGACACCTTTGTACTCCGACCCTGGCAGTCATGAGCTGTCCTTGTGGCTCCACAGTCTCCGGTATGAGGACGCAGGAGGTAGCTGGTCTTATGTCAGCCCTCTCCCCCGATGGGCAATGCCACCAGAGGGCATGAGTGGCCCAACATCGGTCGGTGGCATGGAAGAGTTGGTGGAGGCCGTTAAAGATGACAACCCCGAGATATCATGAGAATTGTTATTCCATACAACAAGCACCACCATGCTGCCACAGTTACCTACATACTGCCGCTATCGTGGACAACGCCACCAAATAGAGTGGGCGCCAACTCGTAGATACACACATACACAACTGAACTCGCTCGGCGCAATGTATCTCGGATAAGAGACGTTGCGATGCCGTACCTATCATATCGTAGACAGCGAAAGAGTCTGAACTAGGGTCCTGTATCCGGGACATGCTGTGGATCTACTATGCATGACCGGGGTCACCACTGATCCCCGTCAGTAATACAGGCATGCTATTATTATTTGGTGTGCCTGCAATGTATATGAACTTCCTAGACCATACAGGATGTTGAGGCAAGATAGGGCTAAGTCCCAAGGTTCAAGCAACCACTTCACCAACCCAAGGGTCTCGGACATTGTGATCCTCAAAAGAAAATCGGCCAGATATCCGTGTTTACGTGTGGAGCTTGAGGTTCCCTTCATCCGGGCGCGTGGTGCTGTCGTTGAGACGAAGCAAAAGTCTCGAACAACTCAGCAGAATTTATGAAAGCAATGAATGGCCAGTCGCCAGAGGCTCCGTTTACACGAGAAGTCTCATTAAGGAAAGAATGGAGACCAGTGGCAGGGAAACCTGACCTGTTCACCTCGGTCTCCCTATGCCCTAGCCGGAGGAGACACCTAGAGGACCTAAAGCCAATAGTCTTGGCGGCCTGGCTGGATCCAAAACGGTCCTGCTATGTTTGATGGACCAATATCGGGGCTCTCATCGTAGACTACAGGTTCCCAACGCATTCCGCATTGAGTCCAATATCAGAATATTTAGGGCCCAAAGAAATGGACCCCCTCTCCGAACCACCATGCTCTTGCTAAAACTTATGTCGTTTGATAGTCACAGACTAGGCTTGAGGTCTCGATGCGTATTATAAACAGGAGACTTGGAGGATCGCTTGTTATGATAAGCTTGATGGTAAGACGGGGACACACTCTACAGCTGGATCGCTCGCAGCTCAAGGCTAGGCCCTTAGCCTGATACCCTACAGGCTGACAGGCAATTTTGAGGGGCTCTTGCTCTCGACTCCAATTTTCAGACGCAAAAGGATAGGTCATGGGTTTACTGCAGATCACCACAGGGATCCTGGGTCGAATATTAATTACTTCAATCAATACGGTCATACCGCGCGAAGCCTTCTTACTGGACACATTTTAATATTCCAATCTGAAAGACGAGGGAACGACCCCCAGCAGGGTTTGATGGGGCTTATTTTTTTATCCACTTGCTAAAACAAAAGAGATGGTCGAAGCACTCGGATCACATCACGTCAAGCTCCACGAAGCATGGGCTTAATCAACGTCGGTTAGGAGAGGGGAGGGGGTCCTCTAGCAGAACCAGGAATTGTGGCTTGCACGAGACGGATTACTGCATGCAAGCAAGCCATGATCGAGCTGCGGGTGGCCCCTGGAACTGGCTGTTTCTCTTTCCATTTTCTGGGGTAAGGGAGATAATTACAGTTCATGGCTTGGAAAATGCTTGCTTTTTTCCCTCTTCTATTCTCCACAGGTTCTTAACCCTTGCCCTTCGAATTCAGTTTGGTCAACGGCAGTACCACGGTCCCGGGTCCCAAGTTGATTTATGGCAATTACTGCGAGGAGCTTGGGCTTGGCGTGAGAAATCTTGCAAACGAATCTCGAGATCGAGTCTTTTCGCATAATACGACGCTGAGCAAGGTTCTTGCGAGATTGGGGCTGACGGGAGATGAACTACTCTAGCCTGGCAGGCCTGCTGTTCAGCAAGGAACACTTTGGCAGAACGTCATTGATGCTACCTAACGTCGGAGCGACAATCCTTCAGTACAGTATGCTGTTGCAGATAGGCGGAGTGCCGAATATTTCAGCTGATGTATGTGCAACAAAATCGGTTCAGCATTCAGCTGCCGAGGTAGCGGGAAATCGCCGTTGCAGAGAGAATACAAGAGAATAAAATTTGCGACGCGATTCCGAACACTTTCCGACCACGCAAGCTGAAGCGCCTCACGGATGACGCCATGAGGGCTCTTCCCAGTGTTGGTTGTGGCAGGGTCTGCCGTGTTTCGGGGACCATGTTTGGCTTGACAGAGAAGATTCTTTTTTCCTTCTGAAAGAGGGAGTTGGTTTGCAAGGCGAAACTCAAATGGCACAAATCACCTGTCACATACGGCTTACCACGGCCTTTGCTTTTTAGCAGCACCTACCTACACTACAGTACAGCTCAGTACATCCTTAAAACCGCGCCTGCTGTGCCGCCGCACAGGCGTTGTTAGGTTTACAGTAGTGCTTTCAAGCCCGGAAATGCTGTCGCTACTGCACTGTTTTGCTTTTCCCGGGGGCTGCGAGCTGTTACGGCCACCGGCCGTTTGCCCGGTGGCCACACAGAGTGCATATGGCGACTCCGAGTGGAAGGTTTTGTGTTGAGTACACACAGCATTTCATCTCAATGGAGACATTTTATCCGCTGCCGAGGTGCATAATTGTATGTATTCCGAGGCCATCAGAGTGCGTGGCTTCTGGACTGCACACACACACATACAGACAGCACCATAGAAAGATCTACGGGTAGTGTTTCTTTTCCAGTTTTGGTGGAGAATTGAAGGGCAACACGCACAGGGAAAGGGGATGGGGCTCCATAACCATGTGCGCTGGCATCTGATCTGGGGATTGGCACTCGACTTGACCGCAAGATGGTCATCACTGTACAGTACACATGCACACACAATGGACGGACTCGAAGATTAAAAAACGGACGTGATGATGCCATCTGGGGGCGGTTTGGATCGACGCCGTCGAGTACAGTAACATCAGAAGTGCGACTCGCCATGCTTTGGCGTGTTTCCGTTCCACTTGTCGGCAACGCTCCCACGTTTTGCGATGCTGATACAAGCTACGGGTGCCTCATGGCTCCTCATTTCATGATCAAGGGTGGTTTGCTTTGGCTTCACAGAAGTAATCCCCCCTGGCTCCACGTGCTCCACCGCCGCGCTATAGACCTTGGATCCTTCGACTTGTGGGCTCCCACAACCGCAAAGCGCGCTAAGTTGGGACCCGTCAGTGGCTCTCTCACACCCTGCCCCCGACCCCGACTGTGGACGGATTTCGGCTAGGGTTTAGAGGACTAAAGTCTATTCTTGCAGGGAGCGCAGTGGATACAGTGGAGATACAGTAGGCATGGGTTGTCGATTCACTGCTGCAGAGCGTTGTCCAATTCTTCCACGCTTCTGGGGGACCTTCCCTGGGGGCTACGCTATGCTATGCTGCACATTACGGCTACCTTGGTCTACGTCCAGGTTCAAATCCAGGGCCCAGGGCGGCATAGGTGGCCATCATAAGTGCACCCCGATCTTCTGGCTTTTGAGACAGTACATACACCCTTGTTTATTTTTTATTTTATTTATGGACAAGAGATGATATAGTACCACATAACACGAGACAGAACAGAGCAACGATATTCAATCAAGGACGGCAGAGCAGAGCATGGTATCTTAGCATGTTGTTGACTAGACCCACCGACACCAAGCCAGTGACATCTGGCTGCGTTGCAAGTACCTTTTGGTGTATCAAGTTTATCTAGCAATTGGTTCATCCAAGACCAATGGCAATGACTCCGGCCGGCAGAGCAGAGTTGCAATGGCGGCGAACTCTCAACGGCGAATTACATGCAGAGGGCTATAGCCATAGCCATACCCTCGATGAATCGGTACCAAAAGTTAAGATATCAAGCCAGACACGGTGATTGCAATTGGCAACGTTCCTTCAAGAACGAGGGAGTACCTTGAGTGGGGACCATCTTGCGATACTTGCTTCAACAGCCAGAGGCCAAAGTCTCCACATTGGTAACGATTCCCAAGCATCCGCGGTCCGGTAGACGGGGCCTCTGCCTTTTGCAGACAAGAGAGTGAGCGGTAACGGGTACAGTATAATGGCCTTGGGCTCAGCTCAGCGCAAGAGAAAGGGTCCGAGGGCTTCTTGTGGAGCGTCTATCAATCTTGGAACCATGAGGAAGAGACCCGCTGAGATTATTGCACTATCAGGCTGTCTAAATGTTCATGAAGAATGAGGGGTGGAGGAGTTGAATCGGATCAAGTTCTAGTCTTGCCAGGTCAGACCAGACTCATACTGAGCATCTAACGTTTTCATTATCGCTGTTTATTAAGTAGCCAACGTTATGGAACTCCATGTGTTACTATGCAACGACATAGACTCCCCCCCCTTACCATGCATAGTCGAGGTTCCGCCTGTGTTTCTGTAGGAAAGTCTCATGAAACAAGGACAAGCCACCCAGACACCAAGCAAGAGAGGAGAGGTACATACCTGAGGTTCTCAGTACATGCTCGAAGTACTCAGCCAACCCAGGTAGGAGCGTGGCGTACCGGACCGCGCACCAACGCCAACGCCAACAACAGTGCTCTGTCCCAGACGATGACCCACGCTCAGTACTGGACAGTAAGTAGCCTTGCCTTGGCCTCTCGAAGGGCCATCAGCCCGACCAGCGCTAGCACCAAGAGAGAGGAGAATGGGACGCATGGTACAGGGGTTTGCATAGAGGGTCCGACTTGAGGTACGTATCCAAATAGCCACCCTCCCTTGCTATCCGTACACCGTTCCAGGGCGAAAGAAGGAAAAAAAAAAGATGGTTCTCAACGCCAGCGGCGCCAGATGAAAATGGTTATAAACAACACCCCCGGTCCACGTCGATCAACCTCTAGTAGTAACTAGGTCGATCTCTATGCGAACACTTGCGCGACCTTGGACTTAAAGACGACAAGGACTCCACAGATATCAACAGCTATTACCTTCATCTCATCTTAACTCAACTCATCTAAATACTCCCATCAAGGACCCTTCTCATCTTTGAAAGCTTCCTCCTCCTTCATCTTTCAACATCACATTGCATACCTTGTTCATAACATAAAGGTCTTGGCCTTTATACATACCCACTTCCTCATTCACATCATATACACATTCGTACACACAAACTCATCGACTTGACATGATCGCATCGCTCTCATCGTCGCCACCCACGTCCATGCCTTACTCAACTTCCCCCGACTCTCACATTTACAACACCGACAACATGGTTCGATCATCTTCAGCAGAGCCCGCAAAGAGCTCCAAGCGAAAGGGTATGTGCTACCAGTCAACAAAGCCAGCAACGACCAGCCCCAAGCAGATCAGCAATACTAACATGCAGCAAAAATAGGCACCCGAAGCGTTTCCACACTCACACCATCACAACTTGCGCGCAAGAGAGCCAACGACCGAGAGGCTCAGCGAGCTATCAGGGCGCGAACCAAGGAGCACATTGATCGTCTGGAGCGCGAATTGGAGGAACTCAAGAGCAAGCAGAGCCGTGATCAGACCGTCCAAGAGCTTCTTAGACGGAACCAGGCGCTTGAGGAGGAGCTTATGCGACTTAAGGAGAACATGGGCGTCTCAATGACCTCATCACCTTACTCTGCACCTGGTACGACTCTCTCAGTCACGATACCTTGCTCGGTTCCCTCACCAACCTCCAACGGCATACTGACGGCTCCCTCAGTATACGATGATAACCTTAGCTCCGGCAGCGGTGCAGTCCCCAGCCCTCGCGGCTCCCCCTTCCCTTCTGGCGACTACAGCCCCATCCCCGACTACGGACATCAATATGTCCCCCTCCCTACCAACTGCGAGTCATGGGCCAACACTGTTTCCTGCCCTGTCCCCTCCAACGTCTCAAGCCCCTCATCATCTGCCGACGACTACAGCGCCGGCTACATCCCCACGAGCGTGCCTACTTCGTTGTTGCCCTCAAACAACACCAGCTCATCGAGCATCGGCGCCATTGGCCACAGCCACAAGGACGTGATCAAGATGGAGTATGAGGATGTTGACTCACACGGTACGATCCCCCAAAAGCGGTGGCGGCTCCAGCCTCAGCTACGAAATGCTCTATAACCAGAAAACTAATCACGATCAGTGTCTAGACGCCGGATACCGCCTCAGCAACCCTTCAATGCAGCCCGTTTCCCCCCACACTTACATGGCTCAGCAGCAGCAGCCCGCCTGGAACATGTATCCCGTCTACTACCCCCAGGCTCAGTCCTCGGTTCACTGAAGGACCAAAATCAGCCGGGTGCCTGCTGGCCGGTACCCGTCCTGACCACCCCGCCGGCCTGCCGCTTCGATCAGCTTTTGGTCGGTTTCCTCCAAGACTGCCGTCGTATGGCCACTGCAGAGTCACTCGCCCATACACTGGGTCCGACTCGAATAGACGTGCGGTCCGTATTTCGCAGTCACGACAGCCAGCTTGCCTGCTCGCCTCATCCGATCACGGATTTGATCCGGAGTCTCATAGACACGGCAGGCATGACGCGGCTCATGGAGCGCATTGCAATCTTTGCGCCCCTTCAAACAATGATATGTTGGCTTGCACAACCTACGCCAGAGAGACGTGCGCGACTGTGCGATGACTACGCACCGCGTGAGTGCCAACTGACAACTCCTCACCCCCAATGGCTTGACCTAGTCCATTGGGGCTCTCTGCGCGAAGCTACTATAGAGCGGCAGGATCTCTACGCTACAGAAGAGTTTCAGAGGATCTACTTCGACTCCCTGCGCCTTGTCAACTGGTCTTACCAGCCGCTAGAGAGTCTAGTCACGGATTCCCAGACGGGCCATGTTGGTCTCACAGACGCTCTTACGGCCCATGCCATGAACGGGTCCAATTGGCGTCTCAACGAGACGTTTACGCAGCGGTACCCTGAGCTTTCTGGCCTAGTGGCCTTGGAGCATAGCCATCCTTGACCTCTCCCCTGACTGCGACCAACCTCCACATACACACACTCTACTATCGCCTCCATTTTCACATGATCGATCTCGATCATGACTTGTATCATTCTGATAACGATAAAAAACCATATGCTGAGGCATGACTCTGTGGGTGAACACAGCACCACATGGTTGATCCATAAATAAAAAAAGGTACAAACCTTACCTCCGGAACTCCGCCGCGGCAAGTCTCCATCTTGCTCCAGCAATGTCGATCGTATCACAACATACATCCTCGTTGCTAGGGAGCTACATCATAATCATCATGATCGCTCCCTCTTACAAAAATTATACAAGGCGTGACGCGAAACTTAGAGGAGGAAGTTACCCCACACATTTCTAACGGCCACTACTGTATTGTAACCTTGGGAGTTTTTTTTTCTTTTTTCTTTCTTGACATTCTTGTTTCTTTTTCAATTTTTTTTTTTTTCACTGGACGGTTTATTTGGGCACACAAACAATTACTACATGATGGATGGAGGTGTGCAATTTGGAAACACATGCATTGGGACACTTTAGCAATTTGGCGATACGGGGTTTTACTATTAGAGGAGTTTGAACAAGATACTGGGATGGCATGGAACATGGTATAACACAACATACTGGGCACTCATCGAGATGGGATGACCCATGTTTATTGCTTAACGAATCAAGATACACACATTGGATTCTTTACTCGCTTGACCCCGTACTCCAATTTCTCTTGACAGTGACGGTATTTACACTATTACCACTAGCTTGACGGACCAAACCATGGAAATCCCTTCTAGTTTCATTTTACCCCATATGCACTTTGTCCTTGGTTGATGACATTCCAAAACCCTGTATTAAGCCCTTGTCTGCTGGACAATGATATATAGTAATAATATTCATGACGAGGCCAGGGTGTGCGCAATGTAACATGAATGGATAATACAGGAGTAGGAGGGGGGCCTTGACACGTTTTTTTTATTACCTCATCCTCCTTTGTTGGTTTGTTGACGACCGAATGAGTACTACTGTACTAAACGTACAGCAAGAATCAACCCTCATGGTTGCAAGAGAACTGCCTTGTAAGTAAGTATGCATGTATATATCTCCACCGCCATGTTTTCCCGACATGCACATGGCTCAAAGGCTTATGGAGGGAGTGCCAAGATGGAGAAAGCATCAGCTCTTGGAGAAATGCCAGGCTACGCAGCTACCCCTACTTTTGGCGGTTGCATGGGGTTACTAGACATGCCTATCAACTAAGCCGCTAAGGGTATAAGCGCTGGACCGAGATCTATCCTCTTCTCTTTTAAGCAATGAATTCCTTAGGATGTCCACTTTTCTCCCCTTCTTCACCTTGGCTTCACTCCCCCGGCCGCAGTCGATGTCGCAGGCACAGGAAGAGATAACTGGCATAAACGCAATCTATCTTTGCTTTCTGACGCTGAAGGTTTTGGGCAAATGAGAACAGAAACCTGATAACGTACTGTAGGAGCGTGTGTACAGCACCGTAGGTACGGTACAGTCGGCAGGACAGGGCAGGGTAGGCAGAAGAGTTGTGTCGATATCATACAGCGTCGTGTACAGAGTATTCATGGTGGCATTGGGAATGTCATCGCTCGGCCCTCCTGCGTGTCTTGTCAATCATGAGAGCTACTGGAGACGGTAAGAGAATGACGGATACAAAGAACATTGAACCGTAAGAATCCAATGTATTGTGACATTGGATACTTTCATCTTTTGCTTTTTTGCCTCCGGCCCATGAAAAGATTCTCATTGCTCGAATCCATATGCACCACATCTTTGGGACTGTGGCGAAAGCACGTGGTCGTTGATGCTTTTTTTGCCCTCTTTTGCAATGACAGCTTGACACAATCTCATACGGCGGTGATGCGAATTCCGAACATGGACTTTTGAGTTTTTGGATTCCGAGGTAGACGTAAAGTCTAACGAAACAGTGTGTTGGTGGTAACTCCATCCAATACCGTGCCGTGTCATACAATGCAATGCCGTCCCTGTCTCCATATGCCGTGCTTCGTTTTGTCTGCAAGAGCCGAGTGGCGTTCTTACGGCCTGGAGAATGTACCCAAAACAGTGTTTTGCACCTAATTTTGTCTCAGTCGCCCTATACGTCATCCCCCTTTCTGCCCGGAACCTAAGTCTGCTGCGCTTGTCTTCCGGGTGTGTTCCGTAGACATTTCCTCTTGACGATTCCGTACCAGTCGTTGCAATGCTTGTTCTTCCGGACGTCTTGCGATAAGGGGTTTGGGTCTTAGCCAGCAAAAGCAATTGCAATCTCAGCCAGTGAGCTAAAGATGGTTTTGCAACTTTGCTCGGTGAAATCGGACAAATGGAACAAAGAAGCGAGACAGCTGCTGGTAGGTTGATTGGGGGGCTCATCATAAATGTTCCCGCGGGAATATTTGACTTTTGCATCCCCTCACTCTCAATCGCAAGTCCTGCCAGCACTGACGTTCCAAATGAAACCGGTAACAGATAGGATCGGCGGCTGTCGCTTCTCCATAGACGCTTGCTTCTAGGTTTGAGCCTTTCCTATACAGAGTATGCACCTCGTCAACTAAATTTGACGCTGCACTGCAGCACGCGCTGTTAGTGGTATGGAAAAATCCCGATAAGGCGGTGCAACGGTACTATCCCGAGTACCTGTCCTTGCTCTTCATGCGTTGGTGGCTCAAAACGGGGGTCACTCTTTTTACTAATTTGTTCTTTCAATAAATTCCACCAAACCTTGAAACATGAAAATAGACTTCAGTGAGAGAAAGTCATAGTCGCTCAAATGACCGTTTGCCAGCAAAGGTGTCATCAGAAGGAAGAGGCGTCGAGATGTGCCACTGTACACCGCAACATCTAACATTTAGTAGTGATTCAATGGCGAATCAGACTAAAGGCTAGAAAACCTAGAAGGAGCCTCGAAGACTACTGAGAGAACCATGATCGAAGCCAACACAAGGCGCGAGTCTGTAGGAAGGCGGTATTGGCTTGTTTTGCGTGGGTATACAGCTGCTGTTGTTGGGGTAGGGTACCTAGAGTAGAGAACAACTGATGCACGGCCGTTTGGTCTTGTACAGAGGAGAGTGCCATGTGCTGTTTAGGCCAGCCGTGCAGGCGTATATATGTGTGTGTGTGTGTGGACTTTAGAGATAGGCGGTATCAGCGGGTGAATGGACTCGATGGAACAACGGCTTGTGAGAGGCTCAAATGCGATCGAACAAGCCAGAGTAGAAGAAATCAAGGGGTATCGCACTGTAGGGTTGTAAAGTTTGCGCTAGAAGGATGCTGCAGCTTCTATAGCACCAAAAGTGCTGTCGAAGAATCATCGACAGCCAGGGGGGGTCCATGGAAGGGTCATGGGGCCTCATGCAGATGCAGGAGCAGCAGAAGTGAGACAACCTACGTCAAAAGAAGGTGGAAAGAAGTCGTGCCGAAGAAAGGTGTCAGCCTGTCGTGTCTCTGTCCCACTGTGATGGTGTGCTCCCCAGCGTCGAACTCCGTCCTGTTGCCGTTTCTGTCGTGCCATCGATGCAACCACACAGACACACATGGCTCAATGAGGACAGGCGGTCGCCATATTATTCTGGGCGGTCTTGAGAGATGCCACTTTTTTCTGATTTTTGAAGAAATTAATCACCGCCCAGTAATTACAGCTTCAGACTGTTTTGAACCGTCCGTTGCTAGTGGGGAGGGTGCGACGAATTTGAGCCGATCCAGTTGAACCGGCAAGATTGAGTTTGCCGCGGTCAGGAACCATGTTCTACTTGGCCGATCAATTTTGGTAGAGTCGCATCACCTGCGGGCTTTGCTTCTCTCTTCAATGTAATGATGACATCCTTCCCCGAGAACTGGCAACTTGAGACAGAGGAACCGGCTACCGATAGGCACTGTTTCTAGATCTTCATCAGGTACTGTACACACTATCAGATGCAGAGATACGGCACTGCACATGTGCCAGCACATCATCAAGAGTGTGAGCGCAACGAATTTGAGCGAGATGCCCTAGGCATTTCGATATGGCGATCTGCCATGAACCGTTGAAATGATCCTGGATGCAAATTACAGGCCTTCTTGCCACGACCCCTGAGCCGTTCAACCTGTACCCACTGTCCACACGGCCTGGGTGTGAAGACTCTGTGTGAGGATTCGAGGGCAGGGATTCTGGAGATCATGACGCTAGTAGGGGACCCTAGAATCGCTCACTAATACGACTAACACCCGGCAAATAACTCATGCACAAATGCTTTAATTGATGTGCCGCGAGTCAATCGATAGATGGTGAATGGCATGTAGTGTAAGGGAAAAAAGTAATGAGCATGTGAAGGCGTGCCGAGAGCTATGGGCCGCTGACCCATTGATGCCATGATCTTCAAATGGGCTGGCTTCAACCCAGGGATAATTCGATAAGTACATATCCTGGCTTATGTAATTGGGGTCGATTGAGGGTGGGCCACTACCCTGAGAGATGATCCAATGAGCATCGGTCTCATCTATGCAAAAACCACGAGGCAAGCAGGGATAGGCTAGATGGGGTCTTGAGGAGGCACTGACTGAAGTGATAAACGCAGTGCAATAAACGAAACCCCTGTATGGCACAGACATAACGACAGCCAAAAAAAAGGCCAAAAAACATCATCCAAGAAACGGAGTCAGACGAACCCCTGTGTCTATCAAGACCACAGAGATGACTTGTGATGTGTGATATTGAAAAACCGGTGATATCTCATACGTAAAAGCTTCGAAGTTGAGGTGAAGGCTATTCATCATGTACGTACAGTACTCGCTGTGGCTGGGCGACCATGTGGCTCTGAGAGTAAGCTTCTTCGAGAACCAGTCGTAGAAGGTGATGGACTTTGCCATTACGGCATCCGGAATTCTTGACACACACCCAACCTTTTCCATCGCCCACACAAGCACGTGGCGCGGTTGAGTCGTCCAAAGACAAAAAAAGGGGGTCCTTTCCGAGCACAAGTATCTCAAGTACTCGGTACTCTTGTGCCAGAAATCCCCCGTGCGGCGAATTTCTACCTTCTGCAATAACATTTTTCAAACTAGAAGGACAAAGTTCGACGGTTAGTGTTTCTCCAGCGGCAAGCCATGTGGACGTGACACGCGTGCACTACAGGGCTGGCTGGAGGAATAATGTGCTTGCACATTCATCTTGTTTCCATACGCTAGTTGGATGTTTTTGTTCTCCATTCAGTAACCAGCTCACGGGTGAGGCGCACACACACCATGAATGTGAGGAACAAGTATGTGGCTGATGATGATCCTCGACTGCGGCACTAGCTGCTCAATGGGGCTGCAGTCCCAACGGTCTAATGTTGTGTCAACTGGTTGTCTCACTTGGTTACTTCAAGGCGAGTTCTGGCAAAGACATACTTCCAAAGTGGAATGATAAACCGAGACATGAATAGCGAACCGTCTTTTTCATTCGTTCGGCCATAAGGAGATGAAGATTTTCACTCACATCAACGAACGCATCCGGTCAAGGTGCGCTATTCTGTGTTCTGTCAGATTTGCCAAAGGTTCCTTGGAAATTCAATGATAGGCGTGCAGGCCAGCAGGAGGTCTGGCTTCGTGTTGGAGGGCTTCATTCTGCCAGCTGGAGATTGGACAAGAAACACGAGTTTCGACCAGCATGACTGACAGTCTGTAATGTCAACTCTGGAGGCGGTCTGTTGGGCTTCCATAACCAAAATGTCTCAGAGGATCACCAATACGGCACTGTTTCCCAGAACGGTAAGAGTGCCACTAGAATGAGCCTACCCGTCTTATGCTTCACACGTTCAGCTGTGGCTGGGACCCTCCCTATCTTTCTCACTGTAGCAGTAGCTGTAGCTGTAGCAGTTGGCGCAGTCGAGCAGGCTTGTGTAAGCCTTTTGTCTTGGTGGATAGTTCTTGTTTTCCGTTTCCTTTTTCAGCCGCCGGAGCATTTTTATTCTGTGGAACACTTCAAACCGAAATCGCCGGATTTCTTCGGGAAGCGCATCCCGATTCTATTCCACAATTTCAGGCCCGTTTAGTAGTCCTTTGTTCACTTGCAACATAAATTGGGGCCGCCAATCAATTGAGGGTACTAATGTGATCTATCACGTTGGTATAGCTTCGACCCAAAGCTCTTGGCGTGGAACGGACTTGGTCGCTAGAAGGACCGGACCAGAGGAATTCGATGCTACTGTGAGAGGTCTTGTGGGACTTGTCGTGGGTCGATAGCAAAAGCCAAATCAACAAGTCGGATTTGTGCAAGGGTCAAATAACGGGTAGAAAGATGCCGGTGCCAAGTTTTCTAGCATCCTTTCCGTAACTGTTGCGTTCATCACTTTAAATTCGTCCTCATTTTGTTCCTTTGATCTTGAACCCTCGCTGGGCACTAATCCACTAGCCTTCCGCTTCACTAGCCGCCGTCAACAAGGCCTAGCTAAGTGCTAATAAACGTGCCAAACGTCGTGCTGCGGATGTATGCAAACATACTTTTGGGTCAATTAGTGAAGACCAACCAGCATGTGGTCCTCCTGGTGCGAAGAAGAACCCATCAGTGATCAGACAGGTGTTACGGGGCTAACCATTCCCTACAACACAGCCTAGAGACCGTTGCCGTCATTTCGTTGCAGACCCTTGATCCCTGGGCTTTGAGTTGCCAGCTATGCATGTCACTTTAGTCCACATCATGCCCAACTTGTCGATAATGAACCCTGGTGCCGCGCAAGGTTGGATTGAGTGAGTTTTGGCCATATCGCAATCGTTGCCAAAAAGCGAATCAAATTGGCATTTGGCACAAAATCTTTGGATATTTTCTGAAGCGAACCACACGTGCTACGTCAGTCTGAAACGCAAAGGGTAGTATTGACAAACAGCCAGTTAAAAGAACTGCCATTCGGGCAGGCACCGTATGCAGTTATTGGCCCTTTCAGAAAAGGGTTGCGTAACAAGCAGTTACCAGTGTTCCTGAAACGATGATGCACTGGTGATCGTCGGCATGAAGACCGCGAGTCAACCGTGCAGTAGGAACGAAAACCGAAGACGTGTTGTCAATACAGTCCTGTATAAACCGGTACTTGGGTGATCTATGGTATCTAATTTGCCAGTAAAAACGGGTTCAAGGTTTCGAGACCAAATTAGTCGATGCCGCGGGGTGATCTGGGCCGTCCTAGCTCCACTGTAGAAGAAAGAAAGTGCGCCATGGCTGACGCCGATCTAGCATGTTGCAGTGCAGTTGGATGATGTACCACGAGAGCCTGTCAAGAAGCCAGATACGTTTGGATGACTGCTTGATCGACGCTTTGCGTATCATCAGAGAAGGATATGGTGGAGGAGCAATCGCGATGCCGAGCGATGAAGGTTCGATGCGCGTTTGCGATCGTGAAGAAAAAAAGTTTCTTATCTGTTCGTCATGGGCGTGTTGTAGTATGCAGTCTGGCAGTACAACTGGGTAGACATTTTTTCTGATGGACTTGCCACCACGGAGATTCCTCGTAGGCCCCGGATATCTCCCTGGCCGTTTCCGAGGTATCCGGCCCGGGTGCAATCGGCGCCGTCGAGTTTGAAATGATCGGAGACATTTAGAGAGTGTAACTATTCCCAAAAGCTGTTATTTTCCGGTCTCTTTGTGCAAGTCTGTTGAGTCTAGATGTGGACCTTTCAAGATTTAGGCTCATCGGAAAACAGCTCATCCGCTTATAAAGGATCTAGGTATGCTGTGTGGTCCTTGCGGTGGCCGATATACCACGGCTTTTGGTGGTGTAAGAAACGAGTTGGTTCCTAGGCTGTGCAGTAGAAGGATCGCAGCGGTCCGTTTAGATTACCGCGGCTGTTGTCTGTGTTTGTTTGTTGCCAAGTCTCGGCCCGTTTATAGATGAAGGTAGGCGTGAAAACATTTTGACCCGGAGTTTCCAGGACAAAAGAAAGAAAGCGGTGTTGAGTTTAGCAGAATTCTCGATTCGCCTTTTTGAAGTTCATTGATTGATCTCGAATTCCCGTCTTGAGTCGGACGGAGTATGTGACTTATACCCGGCTTGTTCCCACCTTCCCTCGTCAAGCACGTGATATACTGAACATGACTGCTCTATCTACCTACTACACTCTTACCTAGTATGATAATTCTTAAGGACTGACTTCTCTGTCATCATAATCCCCCCGCTTTATTAATGCTCTTCATCCGAGATTTATGAAGCGGAATCTCGTCCCGACGAAGCGACAAAGTTGGGATGAGGCACAAGCAACAGACCATCATTGGACGAATCCACGGTTGAACATCGGCTAAAACAGACAAATCCATCCTCCAAGATGCCTGGTATGCGGCTTCGTGGGGCTTCACCACCAACTAGAGTGCTCGTCTGCTATCATGAGAACAGCTTATGGTGTTAAACTGGCAAATGATGAGCGGAATGAGCTGTTTTATCACCGGAACGCGCCTGTTGTATCAGGCAGAATGCGATATCAAGTTGTGCGGGGTTCTATTTATCCATACAAGTCCTTTGTCAAGGAGTATTTATTGGTGAATGAGCGGATCTGTCCTCCCATGAATTGACAAGTTTTTCTCATTCTTTTTGTGTTTTAAGTAAATGAGATTGCTTTTTAGTCTTCAAAATGGCTGATATCAATGTTGAAGAGATCCTCAAGAAGCTGTCTCTGGCCGAGAAGGTTTCTCTTCTTGCAGGTCAGCATCACCAAGATAACGTTTGCGAACCTTTACTTATTCCACGCAGGTATTGACTTCTGGCACACAAAAGCTCTTCCCGAGCATGGAGTTCCATCCCTCCGTCTCTCAGATGGCCCCAATGGTGTAAGAGGTACCCGTTTCTTCAACGGTATTCCAGCAGCATGCTTCCCCTGTGGTACTGGTCTTGGTGCCACATTCAACCAAGAACTTCTCGAAGAGGCAGGAAGGAAAATGGGTGAAGAAGCCATCGGGAAAAGTGCCCATGTAATTCTCGGCCCTACTATAAACATGCAACGATCACCCCTTGGTGGACGTGGTTTCGAGTCCATTGGCGAGGACCCCTTTCTTGCTGGTCTTGGTGCTGCTGCCCTTGTCCGCGGGATCCAGAGCACAGGCGTGCAGTCAACTATCAAGCACTTCGTATGCAACGATCAAGAACATAAGCGAATGGGTGTTCAGGCCATTATCACCGAGCGTGCCCTGCGCGAGATTTACGCTCTCCCATTCCAGCTTGTTGTGCGCGACTCACAGCCTGGTGCTTTCATGACATCCTACAACGGCGTCAATGGAACAGCCTGCAGCGAGAGCCAAAAGCTACTAAAAGATATGCTACGAGGTGAATGGGGATGGGAGGGTCTGATCATGAGTGATTGGTACGGCACCTACAGCGTCACCGATGCCATCAAAGCTGGTCTTGATCTTGAGATGCCCGGCCCTACCCGCTGGCGAGGTGATGTTCTCAACTTTGCTGCTGCATGCGACAAGGTCTGGGGCCATGTGATTGATGAGCGTGCTCGGGAGGTCCTCAAATTTGTTAAGAAGTGCGCAGCCTCTGGCGTCCCAGAGAACGGCCCCGAAAAGATACTCGACACTCCCGAGACGGCAGCTCTCCTCCGCAAGATTGGAAACGAGAGTATCGTCCTCCTCAAGAACGAGAAGAGTTTGCTCCCTCTGGCTAAGGACAGGAAGACGTTGGTGATTGGACCCAATGCAAAGGTCGCGACGTACCATGGAGGTGGCTCGGCCTCGCTGGCTGCATACTACGCTGTTACACCATACGATGGCATCACCGAAAAGCTTGGAAATCCTCCGGCTTACACCATCGGCGCGTATACGCACAAGCTGAGCCCCCTTTTGGGCAGCCAGACCAAGGGCCCTGATGGCAAGACTGGCATGAGCTGGAAAGTGTACAACAAGCCACCCACCGACTCGTCCCGCAAGCCCGTTGACGAGCTCTGGCTGGCCAAATCAGAGATGCATCTTGTTGATTACTACAACTCTGAGCTCGAGGACCTTTGGTACGCCGACCTCGAGGGTATTCTTGAGGTCGAAGAGAACTCTACTTATGAGTTTGGCGTTATAGTTTGTGGTACCGCTAACCTTTATGTCAATGACGAGCTTGTCGTCGACAACAGCACTAAGCAGGTCGCTGGCGATGCCTTCTTCGGCACAGCAACACACGAGGAACTTGGCCGCAAGGATCTCAAGAAGGGAGAGAAGTACAATATCAGAATCGAGTTTGCTTCCGCTCCAAGCTTCACACTCAAACTAGACAACCCTGTCGTAGGCCACGGATCCCTCCGTGTGGGTGCTTGCAAGGTCATCGATGCCAAGCAGGAGATTGAACGATCTGTGGCCCTCGCCAAGGAGCACGACCAGGTAATCATTTGCGCTGGTCTCAACTCTGATTGGGAGACTGAGGGTTCAGACCGAGAAAGCATGAAGCTACCTGGTGCGCTCGACGAGCTGATCTCAGCCGTTACTGCGGCAAACCCACAGACGGCTGTCGTAATGCAGACCGGTACACCCGAGGAGATGCCCTGGCTCGATGAGGTGCCTGCTGTAATCCAAGCTTGGTACGGTGGCAATGAGACGGGTAACTGCATCGCCGATGTCCTCTTTGGTGATGCTAACCCATCAGGCAAACTGTCCCTCAGCTTCCCTAAGCGTTTGACCGATGTTCCAGCATTCCTCAACTTCCGCACTGAAGCTGGTCGAACTCTGTACGGCGAGGATGTGTACATGGGATACCGGTACTACGAATTTGCTAACCGAGATGTTAACTTCCCATTTGGTCACGGCCTCTCTTACACCACGTTCGACTTCTCAGACCTCAGCGTCTCATCGAACGATGGTAAGCTTACCGCAACTATCACAGTCCGCAATGTAGGCTCTGTTCGCGGCGCAGAGGTTGCCCAGCTTTACGTGCGCCCATTGCAAAATGCAAAGGTCAACCGTCCAGTGAAGGAACTCAAAGGCTTTGCCAAGGTCGAGCTCGATGCGGGCGAGTCCAAGACCGTCACCATCTCCGAGCTTGAAAAGTATGCTGCCGCTTACTTTGACGAAGAGCAGGACAAGTGGTGCGTAGAAGCTGGAGAGTACGAAGTCATTGTAAGTGACAGCAGTGCTATGGGTGATAAGGCACTTAAGGGCTCTTTCAAGGTTGAAGAAACTTATTGGTGGTCTGGTATTTAATGATCGGATGATATGTATAGATGCAGATGGCTGAGCAATGCTATGAGTCAAACACAGCGGAGAGAAATATCATAATCCCTCATCTTGATGTATAGGTACCCATAGCCACCATGCCAGACCTAATGGTGTCTATTAAACTTTATCCTAAGCAATACTGTGCCATTTGCTGAACACGTTCTGTGGGTCATACTTCTTCTTCAACTCTCTTAAACGTGGCAGGTTGGCTCCCCATGCATCATTGGGTGATATGCTCTCTGCCTCTACGTTGATGTACACACCGACAGGTCCCTTGCTCCAATGGCTACCGGCAGCTGCCTGATACCCGTTCGTCTCCCGGACCTGTTTGCAAATAGTCCTGTTAAAGTCGCGTACTTCACCATCATGGTCTGGGTTCTCCCAGCCAAACAATGTCAGGACATCGTAGTAATCTCCTCGGTTGGCGTAAGCAGTTGCATCCTGCGCAGTTTCGCGAATCTTGTCCGTCGGGAAGAATTCGATAGCAATGACGGATTTACCCATTCCGCCACGTACTTCACAGAACTCCCAGAATTTCTGTGCAGTCTGTAGCATTGATTCGATAGCCAGAGGCATCACGATATTGCCTGATCCCGTTAATCGCCGAATCCCGTAGTCCATGATTGGGTTCAAGAGGGTGTTTGTTTTCGCTGTTGTCATCATCTCAGTATTATCGGCAACAGAATCCAACTCAATAAGACTAGAAAAGTAACGTTTGGCATCGGATTCTGGGCCATGAAACAGAGGGATAGCTGATACGACGCGTGTTGTACCATTTGGCCCAAAGCCTATTCCTAAAGCAAGACAATGACCTTCTGTGTTGGGTCTCTTATGTAACTCGTTTGCAAAGCGTAATAGATAAGGCAGCTTGTCAGATGAGTAGACCAGCGTACCGCTCCATACTTTGACTTGCTGATGGGCTCGAGAAAGAAAACGAGTGACGACTCCAAATTGTGCTCCTGCACCACGAATGGCCCAGAACAAATTTGCATCTTTGTCCTCAGATGCTTCGACTATCGCGCCGTCGGCGAGAACCACTTCAGCTTCCAACAAATTGTCTATAGTTAAACCATGACGAGCTGTGAGATAGCCATGTCCACCTCCTAGTGTTAGTCCTCCGACCCCTGTGTGATTGACGACGCCTCCCACAGTAGCCAAGCCATGCCGTTCAAGGGCAGAATCGACGTCTTCCCAGAGACATCCACCTCCGAACTCGACAGTCATGGCTTCTTCTTCAACTTCGACTTTCCGCATCTTCCTCAGATCAATCACCATGCCTTCAGACGATGAGGCACCGCTAGAGGAATGGCCGCCACCACACACAGTCATTGGAATCTGATTCGAGACTGCGAATTTGACAGCCAAAGACACTTCTTTCGAGTTGGAAGGTATGACAACAGCTGCCTGTAGGATCTCAGTATTTGCCAATCACAAGAAATAGTCTAGCATACTGCTCTTTTCACGCAAGTCGAGCTCCATCTCTGCAACTTCTCCTCATACCCTTCGTCCTCAGGGAGCAGAACGTCTCCATACGCCATATCCTGGCGAAGTCGAGTAAAGTCGCACATTGTGCCAAGTAAATGATTGAATCCAGTTTTGTAAAACCTAGCACGTTTCCTTTATAGCGTAGAGAGAAGGAAGATGGAGAAGGAGGCGAGTATTTGACAGTTTTCAGGGTCCCACAAGAATACGGTTATGCATATTGTTGACCAACCTGAGACATTTCGTCATCGAACAGTGGCAGCCGGCCTACAACAGCTTGAGGTTATTCGGCACCCTGGAACCTGCAGATGGCTGTTTATGAAAACGCCTTCTTGTGGAGTTTTGGTCTGTGACCGTCTCACAGCTCGTTGTCTTTCGGGAGAGGGTATTCTGGAAAGGCACCATCCATCGCGAACTTATCGTACTGATCCACCACCGCCCGCCCTCCTATAAGTTGCTTTGTGCTATCGTCTTCGTCTCCTTCTGCCAGCCATCTCTGGATTCGAAAAGCCGTTTTTGCGATATCGAGGAAAAGATACCAGTCGTCCATTCCAAGAGACATCATTGTAGATACGGTCAATGTTTTGATGAGACGTCCGAATTTGGTTTTATGGCAGTTAGTAGAAAGTGCGATCATAACCCATACAAAGATGCCGAGGACTGATTTCCAAGTCGGCAATCCAGACTCCCAGATGGCACGCCAAATCACGTTGATATCCTCTTCAGAGCAAGCAGCACTGATTGGAGAGCGAGTCGAAACCGCCTTGCAGTAGATCAGAGCAATCTTCCGCACAACAATATACATCTTATCTGGGAGGTTGGTAGCGGGGGAGGAGGACTTATCAGTCCTGGATGAACGAGGAGATTGGTCCGGACTCTCGACTGAACTCGAACGGGAAGGATTGCAAGAGCTTCGCAAAGGTGGGGTCATTTCCGGGAGATTGCGTATTCTCTCATAAAATCCAGTGGCAGTGACACGGACTGTTTGGATTTGTTTGGAAGACGAGTCTCTCGGAAGTGATACTACAGCCGCGAACAAGCTTCTCACAGTGTCGAGTATATCAGCAGTGCTAGGGTGTAACTGTAAGGAGTTCGAGCATTCCCTGAAAGATTGCCAGTGGCATAAGAGAGGTGTGTTGTATGCAGTCTTGATTGGCGTCCTCTTTGGGTCATTAAATGGGAACCCAGGGTGACCATACATGGAGGGCGTAATCTCATGTGCTAGTGCCATGGCGATATCGTGACTTAGTAGAGTATGTCAGCAATCGAGGGACATTGGAAACACAATAAGTCTAGTATTTCACCGATGTTATTCATCGACTTACATCAATATCATTTTGGCTAGATAGCCACGTAAACCGAGCCGGCTTAGCCCACCTCTCATTCGTACCATACGCTTCAATCCTGAAAGGTGGCGATTCAGGTTGCCTGTCTCGCCCCAGTACCAAGAATCAGCGATCATCTGCACGACGGCAAGCATCAATGTATCGTTTTCCCGAGCAGTGTCGTCCCCGAGCAGTTTGTTGAGCATGATGTAAACATGGCCCTGGTATATCTGCCGCAACTTCTTGGGCATATCGCCAGTCTCGGTAAGGAAGCATGCTGACGTGAACAGGACGATTTGCAGGAGCAGAGGATCGTGCATAGTACAAGGAACCCATATGTTCATGAACTCGTTCGTAGGATCTGGCTGCCCGTCTATTGAACATTTGAATCGTGACAGTAGTGACAGGTCTGACGAAAATGGTGAGCAAAGAAAACGCAAGAACGAACGTAATTTACTTACGAATCCGGACAAGATCCTTGTTTAGCTTCGTTGGCCTCATGGGAAGGTAGTTGAGCTGTGTCATAGAGCCGCCAATCGAATAACCCATCACCATAGGGTCATATGGTTCCATACTAATAACCCCCTCTTCATGATAACTACGTTTAAAACTTTTGATGCTTTGTTCCTTGATAGTTTGAATCGTGTTCGATATTGTTTCATCAGTATCACCATCAGTCGTGTAGGGTCTCCAAAGACTTCTTGATGACTGCGTCAATACGGCGGCCGTAGATGAACTTGCTATTGGTGAAGGTAAACTGCTTGCCGAAGAAGCTGGGCTGGGTAGTTGTTCGCCAATATAGTAGAGAGCACTCTGGATGGCAGCTGGGCTGAGATGGGAGTATGGTCCATCTCGTATATCGGCGATTGTAGGTAACTGGGGTCGTGGAGTCAAAGAGGAGGGTCTATAAATAACATTAGCAGTGACAAATTTACGGACTACAAACGTGGAATCGAAGTAGTCCGTGGGGAGTAGGTTAAGTGTGACCTTGAAGATTTGACCTCATATATGCATTCAGGAGTGGGAAATCGGCGAAAACAATTCGTGCAAGGCTGTCCTTGAGAACACTATATAGAAATTAGCTCTCAGTTGCTGGTACAGGTGATCTACTATGAGATAGTGACAAAGTGAGGCTGTCGAATGAACATATTGTATAAGTTCTGGTGCAGAAAAGTGTTGTCTTATTATAGGAGCAAACGACGAAGAGAATTGATGGTAAGAGTTGAATATTGAAGTTACTCGCCTTTTGCTTGCGACGACGGCACTCAAGGCATGATGACGTTTGGCGTTGGGCACGTTTTCTCGGTGGTGCGGCCTGCATCTGCATGGCTTCAACTCCCGACATCATGGCGCTTGGGGTCACCATCGTGTTACCAACAGAACGGGCCCGGCAATAATGATCTGCTTGTAATATCCAAAAGTTGAGATGAAACAAGACCAGATGACAGGCTAAAGTAAGGGCCTCTATAGTATTCGGTATCCGTTACCGAAACTCAAGAATAATGATTGGCCTGGGCAAAGCCAACAGTCGTCGAATGAGCACCATTCAGAGACACTGAATGAGGCTGTTGGTCCAGCAGCACAGCGCAACAGGCCGGGGTAACAGACAAGGATAGGCCAAGATGGGGCAACGAGTGTTGGTTCTGTCCAAAGTGGCGGCTGTTATTTGGAGCGATGTGGTGTGCAATAGAGCGCCTGTCTCAAATGCCGGCCCAAGGTTCTCGGAAAGATGTGCCTTTGATCAGCGATTCCAATCAAATTCAAGTTGTTGAAATTAGTAGAGAGCCATGACAAGCTGCAGAGGGACGGGTTGAACAGACAGGATATATCTGAATATAGAGCGAGACCGAGGCCGAGCGCCGTCGCTTATCAGCCAAACGCGGCAAGCAGGCGGCTGTCCGGGCTATGAAGGACACTCCAAACTTGTCTAGTTGCAGACAGCACTGTAACCGTATCTGTCGGTGCCTGTACCTGGACCTGGCCCTTTCCCACTTTTGCAGGCGTGGGTGGTGTTGCGTGTCTTGGGGGTGACGTTTGGAAGGATGTAAAATTTGTCCCTCTCTCCCTTGCGTGCTTGAAAGATGCAATGTAACAATGAGTCAATGGTTGTAAGATGCAACTTAATGTCACCTTGATGAGCGTGGCTTGCGTGGCACTTGGACTAAAGATGCGGTACTGTATTGATGTACTGTATGCTGGAGATGGGCAATCTCTCGAGTCTTCAGAGGCGTCCAGCAACCAAAAAACAACAATCCACCCACGCAAGCGAACAAAGAGAGGCCGGTCCAAAAGTTTCTGCTCTGCTGCCGATCGCGACAATATTAATGGACAACTCTTGGACAGGCAGATGCAGTGTAGTCAGGGTCGTTAGGTTCGTTCCCACTTAATGCTTGGATGTCATGTCCTTGACAAGCTGCATGAAAGACGACTTCTTGGCGAGGTAATGGATCAAAAGGTAAGAGAATAAGAAAAAAAGATCGACGGATGAATGAATTGAATAACTTGTCGCAGCACAGTAACAGGTAGAAAGCCCAGGCCAATTCTAATACGCAGTGGTGATGCGGTTGTAATGCACCAAGCTGTGATTGTAGGCTCGGCAATCGACCTAAACCCTGCAATAGGCAGGCACTAACACACTGTTGTCTGTCATAGCTCTTAGCCAGAAACATCTTGGAGCGATCTCTCCAATCAAACGAAACAAAATTGAAGATGAATCAAAGGTTAAAGGCTGAGGCTATCCTGATATGGTCAAGCACCATCGCGGATGCCGATAGGGGGATAGCCCAGTTGGCCTCCCAAGTTTCCGTTTGCATTTATGTCCTGTTCTCCTTTTGACAGCGTATGTGCTGCAAGATAGGCGGCTCTAGAATCAGAATTCGAACTCGCTGTTATGCGTCTGCCTTCGTGAAAGGGCGTATAGGAAGATTCGCTCCAAGACAAATAATCAATCTCGAGAAGCATGGCAAGGCAGAAGCAAACTTCCAAGGTCTAGACCAACTAAAATGAACAGCGGGCCCACTGAACGGATCCTCAATCAGCCCACCTACCGCTGGCCCGTGTCCAAGATCTGCTTACCCGCGACTCTAAAACACCACATTAACGCTTATTAGGTCAAGGCTTACTTTTGAAACGCAAAACAAAAGTAATAATCCTCCTGTATCATTAAGAGCCTTCGAAATTGGATTTTTATTTCTGCCCAAGAATCGTTAGCTACAAAAGGGGTGTTACTATGTCCGTATATTACACCCCCGTAAGATTGGCAGTGGGATATTCAGCTCTGTCTCAGAGCGCCACAGGAAGTCAAGAAGCTCTAGTGTTTTCTTGACAGGTACCCAAACTCTTAGATTATCAGTTGAGAGAGACATCCTAAACATTCAGGGTATGTTTTGTACGGGCTACGGCTGATATGGAACATAGTCGCGGGCCCATCAAGGTCGAGACTCACAGCACAAATTATCAACGGGATATTGCATGATCAAGTCGACAGATACATAAGTTGCAATTTCCCGATATCATGTTTTCAAACATAGGGACGACATCCCTAGCCACAACCACGGCATTAACGCTTATAATAGAAGCAAGCCTGAGACATCCTGTCATATGATCAATCAGTTCTCATTATACATAAAATAGGTAGGCTATATGAAATAGGACTCTTTGCTTCAATCCATCAATCTCGTTCCACATTCAAAAAAAGGTGTTTCAACAAAAACCAGGTGGTATCTAGTCGCGTAGACGAAGAAGTTAAAAAATAAAAATAAAAAAAGCATCGTATCACTCATCCCCATCCTCAACGCCAATCCCGTATTTTGGGCACTTTCATCGCTTGAGCTCGTCCCAGGAGCGAGCGTATCTCATCCTCGTCGCGGATTTTATTCTTTCAAAAAAACGTTGAGTGAAGAGGGACGTATCGTTAAAAAATCGATAAAATAAGTTTCTCATCGTCCCCTATAGTCGGGCTTTCGAGACATGTTGACTGGTGGGGGCTCATCGTCGTCCACAGGGTATGGAGGTGGAACCGTCGGTATTCTTCGACCGCCATGTTGCTGGCTCTCTGGGAGAGGCGTCTTGGGTGGCAAGGGCGGAGGTTCAATTCGGGTTGGGGGTGGGGAGGCCACGTTTGGAGCCGGTCTGGGGTATTCGTCTGGACTGACAATGGCTATCAAATCCTGCCCATTGACATGGTCACGATACTGCGCTGGCGTGGGTGACTGTACTGTCAAATGATCCTCTGGGTACAAAGCAGGAGCACTGGCGCTAGGGCTGCGAGGTCCCAAAGGAGGAGATTTGGGGGTTGAGCCATCGGGGTGTATACGCTCATACGAGCTTCGGGGCGAACCGTTGTGAGGCATTTGTAAGTTATCGGAGCCTGACTCGAACGAGGACCGGCTTCCAGGGCTGTGAGGGAGCGGGACAGACGTTGGAATATCCCCAGGAAGTTCAAACGCCATGGGCATCTCCCATGTACTCGATGTTGACTTGACGATCTCTGGAATGCCCTCGGGAGCTCGTGCATGGCGGATTCTGGCTCGATGAATCCTTCCAAGCTTCGACGAGATACCTTGAATCATCCTTTGCTCGGCTTCTCTTGACATGTACCTTCGAGTACCTGTGCTGATCTCACCAAGTCGGTGCCATTCATTCATGCCAAACTCGCCCACACCCACCTCCACGTTAAGACGGTAGTAGGCATCAATACTGACATTTCGCTTTCCCAGATGCTCGCGCATCATGTACTCGTGGATCTTCTCGCAGCCCTCGATTTTCGAGATTAACTTCCTACGGGCCTCAGCAAACTCGCCCAAGAAGCCTTCATACCACATCTGTGAATTTGAGTCCGTGTTCTTGGGCCGTCTGCCAGTACCGACACTAACAAAGACACCCACTTCACGACCGGGCCACTCGTTGACCACCGCTTCGTCCAGGGCTTCTGGGCTAGGGTTGAAAGTGCCCACGCCATCGTCGTGGAAGACTGATTGCCCGATGGTGATGGGCTTGAAAGCAAGCCCAATAGAACAAGTGGCTCGGCCAGCTTGCCAAATTTTGCATTCAAACTCAGGTGGGGGTTCTTTCCGGGAATCGTAGGATCGTAAAAGAACTGCGGGGGTGCCTCGAGGAGAGCCCTTGTATACTGCTGTGACCGCTCTATAAAGTTGTTAGCAATCTTATCGGGCGCAACTCGTTGCTGCGTAGGAATGACTCACGTTTTGGTGCGGTTTTCTCTGTGGTCATACAGACGAGCGTTGGGATCGCCGTATCTTGAATTGTACGCGGGCCGATGCGCCATCTGCGAAGCGGGACTGCGAGCGCTAAAGCTAACGGTGCTTGCATTGCTCTGATTCCGACGAGGGAGACCAGCGCTTGAGTAGGATGCAGCGTTGAGGGGGTTGGTAAGAGGGGATTCAGCACTGTCGTTGCCTTCTCTTTCCTTGACGGTATGTTCCTGGACAGCTGTCTTGATGGCTTCTTCAAGCTTGCTAGCCTTGAATAAAGTCGATCGGTATGGGATTCCAGCGATAGTCTTGTCGGTTTGAAAAACGGTGCGCGTCATTCGAACGTAGAGCTCTTTGCAAGTCTCGAGATCAAGACGAAGTCGACCCAACATGAGAGCAATCAGGCCTCCCGTACCGGTACCGACAATTAGATCGAAATGGTCGCATGGCTTGGGAATCTCGTGTCGCTTGGGAGCGCGGCCTTCGATTTCGACAAAAGTTCGGTGCATAAGTTCTTGAATAATAATGAAAATAGAATAACCTCGGACGCCTCCTCCATCTAACGCGCGTATTAGTAGGTGAATCAAACAAACTTTATGAATACTTACCGAGCGAAAGAACTCGAAGAGGAGGGCCTTTGGTCGTATCCTTCCTCCTGACTCCGCCAGAGTCCATGGGCGCAGAGGAGATAATTCTGTCGCGGCTTGCGCTTCAGTCAATCGTAGAGGGGTGAATTTATGGATAGCTCGGATGCTCAAGAGAAGTGGCAGGGTCGCGCAAAAGTTTAAGCTGGCTGTTGAATGTCTCGGCGGTTGTCGCTAGTTAATATCAGGCGGGATAACGTTGAACAGCTGAACCGGTATCGTCTCGTGCGCAAAGGTGAATCTTCTTTGATGTCTCGGAGAAGTGAGACTTTAGAATTGTTCTTGGAAATGGGTTTAGTTGTCCAAGGTAAAGTAATGAAAGGTAGATTGTGGGCAACCCAGGCAGCCTTGGCTGGCAGTGACTTAGTCCAAGAAATGGACACTACGTAACGTAACTAGCGCAGGGCAGGTCGCCCCGCCATCATTGAAGGTCAAGATCCCTGAAGCCCTGACGCAACAGTGGACGGGCCTTTCGGAAGCCCTTCAAGGAAGCCTTTCAATCCCTGTAACCTCTCGAGATCGTAGGCGGGAACTTGCCCAGGACCGGAAACTCACACGCCACCTCGAAATCCTGACAGCGGTTCGAGTTGCGGTTGGATATAAGTTTCCTGGCTACTGCACGTTTAATGGGTGATGCAGGCGAATATCACTTCCCTCTTACTGTCGCGGTCCTCTCACGATAGAGTTGTATGGATGTGTTATACATGTAGATGTGCTGGGCTGAAACGAAACGATGACCCAATCCTTTTCGTCCCTTCGGCTGCGGTTCGCACAACACGAGACGACTGGAGAGTGGCTGTGTAAACTTGGCTTTCCGGCCCTTGGCGTTGATGTCCTCTCCCGTCCATTTATGGGCCTTCGCTTGATTTTGGGTCTCTTGGCATTTCCAAAAGCTCAGACCTTTCGCCTCGGTTGAGAGATCAAGTTGTTTGTGACTCGCAGAGCGTGCCCATGATCTACCAAGCATGTCAGTCGGAAAGGGATATATCCGTCGGAAATCCAATCATTCACATAGCGGTTTTTTCCACCAATTTGGATGTGATTAACAGTCATGGATATAGAACGAGCAAGCAAAGCGTGCTGTGAGCATACCATTGGTTAAACGAAACATTCTAGCGCGAGACTGTGGCTGTGTTGAACCATTTCGCCACGTTGCTGCAGCCGAAACTGGGTCGTATTCTTCAGGGTTTCTATTTAGAATCAGGGTCGAACGATGTGGACTCCTCTTTGGGAATGTCGGGTTCAAGAATCCGAATCTAAACGACTTCTCCATGAGGTAGCCAAGTGATGTGATATTCAGGAGAACCACAATTGCCCCCATTAACTTACATGGAGTGCCTGGAGATCTTGGGCTTCCACGGAAGCCGGCAGATTGTACGAAACCCAATCTTCGGCATGTGGCACCAAGGCGGCCTCTTCCTACACGAGTGACCGACGATACGCGTGTTCTTCTAAACATTGCCAGAATCATCTGACTACTAAGGTAGAACACGAGAATTGCAGCTTCAATCTCGTAATCAACAAGCTGAGCATGTCAATGCTTACCTGACCAGTACCTATCATTGGTATCAGTAAAATCAAATGGCACAGAATCTGGCTGCATATGTGAGACCATCAAGATAATTTATATTAGTTTTTGTAGTAATTTCACATCATACTTACATATTCATGATTCAGACATTATTTATTTTGATACATAAACGCTTTCTTCTTCAAGATCCAGCCGTTGAAACTCAAAGCTGTTCCATGGCAGAGATACTCGTGGTAGAGGTGCCTGAACCTGACAATCATTCTTTTAGACACATAGTTGAACTCAAAACTATTCTTAGTAAGTACTTGTAACCCCAGCAAATTCTACTCCGTTACAGTTGAGGTGTAGGATTGCTAGGATTCTGCCCATTATGAGAGTTTTTGTGTCCGCACCCACTTACATCTGCTTACTCTGGACTTACTTCACACAAAACATCCAACTTTTGCCAGAGTCTTTCGGCTTTAGCGGCTTCGAATAGAGAAATTCAGAGATGCGTCCAACGTGGTTATATACGTATTAAACGCCTGTCGTTTCTAAACGACAAATCGAATGGCTTTTGGTCCCCCTCACCAACACGAAGCCTTCACATGCGGGCAACTTCAGTCAGCTTTTGTTGAATCAACATTGATGCATCTCAAGGAATTGGATGTATCTCAATCTGACAATCGTTCCCACACTTGCTGATCCTCCACTATAGTATTGCTTTTGAATGCGACTCTGCAGACACAGCCAGAAGCTAGTCTAGATGCTAGGCTGCGAGGTATGTGATGTTTTCACTTCTGCAGCACAACTTGGCCTCGCGTTCAAGTAACCAATCCTTCACGTTTCGAGACATTCATAATCTAGACCAGAACTCCAAGTCGCATGATTCCGTGTAAGAGAGTACAATGCATCGGGTTCAGGCTTACCACAACTGGCGACAGATGTTGTGCTTCTGCAATCGGTGTTACCATAGCGCGTGTTCAAGGGCAAAGCTGCCGACCAGCTCTCGTCTGTTGTTATTTTGCACTCATTCGTTACCGACCCGTCTGTTTCGTGTTCTGGTTTCTTACTCGCCCACCAGCAAGCAACACCTCTGCCGGCTTGTCCACAGCGGTCTTGACAAGTCGTCGCTCACCATTGACAGGCTCGCCAGGATGGAGGAGGGGGTGCGCCATTGCTCCACTTTGAAAGCTCACTGCTGCATCGCTGTTGATTCGGGCATCCCGTGGCAGCCTTGAGATGTTGGTTGAGAGATTATACCGTGCTGATGAAGGAGAAGCAGCTGGAGCGTTATGGAAGGTAATTGGGGGAGGCTTGCGCCGTTGAAACCTTGGTATCTAACCAACATGAGCTAAGAAGCAGATCTCAAGGCCTCGACAAGTGGCCCACAAAGGGCAGACGCCAGGCCAGTCTGTCGTGCATTCTTGATATGATGATCGTGGTTAGCGTTCTGTGTTATATCTGCAGTACGGCGCGTCTGATGGTGACGGGAGTCTGGGAGGGGAAGAGGAAGGGGAAGAAGGCAAGGGAAGGGGTTGAGGTTGAGTCGGATTGGTCGAGGAAGCGTAATCAGCCGGCTTGTGTGAGAACAAGCTGTAGGAGCTGTGCTGTCTGTGGATGATTTGTGCAGCTCAAGGTATAACAACCCAGTACTGTAGATAACACTCATGCTCTTTGCTCCTCCTTCTTTTATCAGCTGAGAACTTTTGTGAAGTCTCTCATTTTGCTTTGGTTTCAATCGTCGAACCCCTCCTCCTCAACCCCCTGCTTCTTACTTCTCAGTCAGTCTCAGGGTATGTAGTTTGAGCTACCGAGTGCCTATAACAACAGAGGTCAGGCCAACTGTTATCGTGGTTCCAATTGATCATCAAGTGAGTACAGAACCAAGACATTGTACGCTCTTTGTGCCTTTGTGGGATGGAGGGAGGCCACCAGCCCCATCTCAGCCAGCTCGCTCACTGCAGCTGACCCTTGGCTTGACCTGGCCTGGCCTGGCCTGGCCTTGCATTACCAGGCCTTGCATTACCTTACATTACCTACCTTCCTTGCCTTTTAGAAGACGGTGAAATAGAGAGGCTGACAATTGCGGAGGCAGCCCCTCTTTGAGTTTTCTGCATCTGCATCTGCATCTGCGCCTGCATCTGTTCGCTACACGCTTCTCGTCCGTTGGTTCTCTTCATCTCCTTTGCTCGTTTATACTGCTAGTTAAATCCCCACCTGCTTCTGCTTGGCCATTGTGGGATTCGAGAACCCCGGCCCGTTGAGACACCGACCAATGAGAAGCCTTTTCTTTCTGAGTACCCCCACCTCTAATCTTTGCCAGGCCTAGGCCCCATCAAGCTTCTAAAAAGAAATCCACACAAAGAGGACAAGCAATAATACCCAGACACTTCCTACCACAATCTTAGCGTCAAACTGACTGCTTTATTTCAATTCGTTACTCAAACCCTGGTCTTTTTCTGCCGTATTCTGCCACGACAGCCTCGTGCGAGCAAGCCTTCCCACGAGCATAGCCTTCCCTCTGATCTTCTCTTACTCTTCATCACCCATGCGACGTACGTTCTCTCTCCAGTGGTCAGGCTTGTTGGCTTTTCACCGTTTCGTTGCCATTGGTACTTCTCTTCCAAAGTCCCTCCTTACCCTATCAGCCGGCAATTTCTAAACCGTGCGATTTTACTTCAATTCCCCTCGTATACTCTTGCCAACTCGATTCGCTTCTTCATCGACAATTCTTAAGCCCACACGAGTTTACATGTATATTGGTTTTAACCGAAAACTACTTAGATAGCAGATAAACTACCCTCCGTACTCGAAGCTTGCTATCCAGTCGACTTGATACTCGAGTACCTAGCCGAAACGAAACCCGCTTCGGTTCAATGACATTCGCCGACCTGGCTTGCTGACGACCGCATCACCTCCCAATTCGCATCCTTGATCGTCTTTGTCGATGGAACCCAACAAACGACGCAAGCTTGCTCCCAAGGTCAACGCCACGACTCCAAGCAAGCCGCCGCCACCAACACAATTCCCCCACGAATCGGTCAGCTCTTGATTCTCTAGCTTTCCGCGTCCTCTTCTTGCTAACCCAGGCTCTGGCTATAGCCTCAACAACACCATCCAGCTCAGGAGGCTGCTCCGGCTCCTCTTTCCGAACGCCATGACTTCGAGTCCTTTGCGCGACATCTGCAAGATGCTGCTATGCTCATCCAAAGACAGACCGAGCGTCACCCCTATACCGATATCTCGGTTCTGCTACTAAGATGGGAGGATGATGAAACTGTTGATGAAGATCTGGTTGCTCTTGAGCAGGTTCTCCAGAAGCAGTACAAATACAGGACGGAGAAGTGGCACATCCCCACAGTGCCGAATCCTAGCATAAAGCTTGGTGTTCAAATGGCTTCCTTCCTCGAGCATGCGAAAGCCAATCATTTGCTCATTATCTACTACGCTGGCCATGGCTATGTAAGCTCCGATGGCCAGCTTTTCTGGGCCTGGTGAGTTGGCTATTTTTTTTTTTTTACATATGCTTTTTGTCTCGCCTCTGGCTGATATTTTCTCCGTAGCAACACCAAAGAAGATGCTGCAAAACTAAAATGGGACGGCGTTCGTTGCCTCTTTGAGGATGCACAGTCTGATATCCTGTTGTTACTCGATACATGCGCGGTACCCGATCCCCCCATGGCCGGTAGCCATGGTGTGAAGCAAGCCATTGCGGCTTGCGCTTCAGATCGTAGTCCAGATAGCTTAGAGAGGTCATTTACCTCCAACTTGACCGAGGCTCTGCAGAAGCTTAGTAGTGGGCGGCCGTTTACGACGCAAAGACTCCACGAAGAAGTGCTATTTCTGAAGAAACAACAGCAACTGCTTCAAACTCCTCGGCAAACCAACGGAGGCAGCTCGAATACGCAGTCTTTTCCACATAATCCAGTCTTCATACCTCTGACACCCGGAAAAGGTCAAAGTATTGCCCTTGCGCCAATGCCCCCAAGACCACGTACTGGTTCACAAAATGGGCATGACACAGATGGACAGGGTAACCGTGAAGAACAGCTGATCGATCCAGAATCCGTTGTTGACCTCAGGTTTGAAGAACCCCGGGTGCTTGTTTGCACTACCTTCGTTGGCGATGCAAGTCCGGACATGTCCTTTTTCTCCCAATGGCTGCACAGCACGCCACCGTTGGGGGACAAGATCGCGGTCGAAGGCATGTTTCTCGGCCCACCTACTATGTTGCTCATTTCTATGCCGCACTCGATCTGGAACGTGGTACAGCACGATAAGGTCTGCTGCTTTTTAGGGTATATTAGCTCCCACAACATGATCCACCTCTACCACAAACTAGTAGGTTCTTCCGGTGTCAAGCCATCAGCTAGAGAAGTCGAAGATGGTCGGATCCTCCTTGAGGCAAGGGATCATGCCTTCAGTACTCCTGCCCGCGTTCGGCGAGAAGAAGGCCATTCTTTTCACTCCCCAGCCACCAGAGAAGCGCCTAATTCTGTCGAACGAAAAGACTACCTTCCTCAAGCTAGTCCGTCGGGTCCAGCATATGCCAACTCAACAGGGGGTCATTCTAAGCCCAAAGATGAGGTGGAAGATTCGGCAGAGATGCAGGAAGCCGCTGAGCAACTGAAAGCTTTGAGCCATGTTCGCCACCCAAGCGACGAAACCACAAACATCAACCGACCTCGTACAATTCTTCCCGACGGAATGCCCGAGATCAGACCAGAGGGGGAGAACGATGAACTCAGCAACAATGACCCTCTGGCAACACTTCGCAACGCCAACGCAACAGTGAAGCCCCCTCGAAGGTCTCTGCCCAAACAGGACACTCGCTGCAATCACTGTAGCCATGCCCCTTTCAAGGATTCCTCATCTTTGAGAAAACACATTGCTGCAGCCCACACTAGGCCATTTCCATGCGCATTCTCGTTTGCGGGATGCACAAGCACCTTTGGTTCGAAGAACGAATGGAAGAGACATATTGCATCACAACATCTGTGTTTGCAATACTATCGTTGTTCTTCCTGTCCTCAGAGCACCGCTGAAGGGAAAGGAAACGAATTTAATCGCAAAGACTTGTTTACCCAGCACCTACGGCGAATGCATGCGCCCTTCCAAATTAAAAGGGCACTAGCCAAGGGGGACAGCAAGCTGCAGTCTGAGTGGGACGCACACGTCAAAGAAATGCAGGTATCATGCCTTGTGCAGCGTCGCTTACCTCCACAACGATCAGCGTGTCCAAAACAAGGTTGTCAGAGTGTCTTTGAAGGTCCCTCCTCATGGGATGAGTGGACTGAACATGTGGGCCGGCATATGGAAAAGGGAGAGGGTGGTGGCAGGCTTGGAGTAGATGGCCTTCTAGCACAATGGGCCTTGGATGAAGGCATCATTGAGCGCAAGACAGACGGTGAATATCGCTTGTCAACCAGTAACGGAATGAGTGGAGGAGGCAACAGTGGAGGCATGCCTTCTGTTTTTGATCAAAAAGAATCGACCTTAACATCGGTTTCTACACTGGAACCGTCACAACCGGAGGAATCCTTGATCGCGGAGACAGGCACAAAACCTCCAGAAGACAGAATGGAGGTTGATACCTCCGAGTAAAGGATGCAGTGACTGACTATAGGACTCATTACGAATCTAGTGCGATGCGATGCACTGCAACGATATGACTATACGAGTGAATGACCAATTTTCATACAGTTTTCCTTTCTTACGTAGTGACGGTCGCTACCTTGCCCAGTCACTCGCTTAGAAGACGTTCTCATGAACAGGAAGAAGTCTTGCGACTTCGAGGCTTGAAACAAAATTCCAATTGGAGTCAAGAAACATGTAAAGGGGTATAAAAGTTATAGGTCAATGAAAAAAAATCCAATCGAAAGCTCGCAGTTCTGTTTATGTTGGTCTTCGATCATTACTCCTATGGTGCAAAATATGACTAGATTAGCAGGCATATATGTACCTGAGTGATATCTGCTGCAACAGATGACTTCTGCAATACTTAGTATATATGCGGAGTATTTTTAATTTATTCTATTGGAATTGTAAAAGAAACAATAAATTCTAAATTGTCTATGGAGACGGGAATTTGCATATCTTGATGCATGTGTCTTGGGGCATAACTTAAGGCGTACGTAGACCACGCCGCCTGGCATAATGACCCCTAAACCCACTGAAGCCCGCTGAACTTAAACATCAACGAAGACATCGCACCGCTCATCAACACGTGTCAAACACCAACGCGATCTCTTCATTGCCTACCTTTCAATCCATTTTCGCTGTTAGATTCAAACTAAATCACAAAGATGTCGCCGTCCCCTGCAAATAAGAGCCCTCCAGCCGCCTCATCGCCGTCCATGATCAAGGGCGCATCGCTTCTCATCATCCTCCAGCTGGCCTCCCGTCTAATAACCTTTGTCGCCAACCAACTCCTTCTGCGCTATCTCACTGCTCCTCTTCTGGGCCTTTCGACGCAACTCGAGGTTTACTACCTCTCTGTACTCTTCTTCGCGCGTGAAAGTTTGCGCGTGGCGATTCAGCGAAGGGACGCTGGATCCAAAGCAAAAGAGGAGAGCCAAGCAGTGGTGAACTTGGGATATCTCTCTATTGGCCTGGGAAGTCTCGTCAGTCTCGGTCTAGGATGGATGTATCTTGCGTACGCCACCGAGGCAACGCTCTCAACACCGTATCTTGTCGAGTCGTTGTACTTGTACGGATTTGCAGCCATGGTTGAGCTGTTGTCTGAGCCGTGCTTCGTTCTCATGCAGACTCGACTGCAATTTGGTACACGAGCTGCTGCAGAATCTATTGCGACATTCTTGAGATGCATTGTCGTGTTTGGATCTGCGGTCTGGGCATCCAAACACAATGATATTGGAGTGCTTCCCTTCGCTCTTGGACAAATCACCTATGGGGCTTCACTGCTGCTTGTCTACTTGGTATCGGGATATCAGCTTGCCTCTTCGATCGGCTTCTCTCTTTTCCCCAAAACTATCGCCTCAAAGGATAATCGCTTCTGGGGATCCATGTTTGATAGACCTACGATAGGTCTTGCTGGTAGCATGATGGCTCAGAGCGTGGTCAAGCATCTCCTTACTCAAGGTGACACCTTTCTCATCTCCTTGCTTGCCTCCGCCAATGTTCAAGGAGCCTATGCACTCGCAAACAACTACGGCAGTCTACTTGCTCGTCTCCTTTTTCAGCCTGTTGAAGAAAGCAGTCGAAGCTATTTCTCTCGATTGCTGTCATCAGTGACGCCCGTCAAACAAGGCGGCAAGCCCTCGCCTGTTGTTACCGAAGCAAAGCAAAACTTGTCAACACTGCTTCGACTATATATTCTACTGTCGTCAGTCATCATCAGTCTTGGACCCTTTGCTGCCTCGCCACTTTTGGCTATTGTAGCTGGCAAGCAGTGGGCTGATTCAGGGGCTGGTGACGTCCTTGCGGCGTATTGTTTCTACATCCCTTTTCTCGGCTTGAACGGCCTCACAGAATCATTCGTGGCATCTGTCGCCACAGAGGCCGAGGTTCACGGGCAGTCTGTCTGGATGGGTGCCTTTTCTGTCGTATTTGCTAGTTCAGCTTTCCTCTTCATGAGAGTCTACCCTCTCGGTGCCATCGGCTTGGTGTTGGCCAACATCATCAACATGGCGTGTCGCATCATTTGGAGCGGAGCATTCATCAAGCGCTATTTCAAACGACATGGTACTGAATTCAAGATAAAGAGTCTACTTCCTGAGAGCACACTTGGTGTCTCAATCGCTACAGCCATTCTTCTCAGGCAACTAAAAATCGCAGATAACGCGGATCCACCGATCAAATCTCTCGTCAAGATCGCTGGCTCGGCCATCCCATTACTGTTTCTCATGTACGTCTACAAAATTCCAAACATCAGACTTTTCAACAAATCTAATCCATCACAGCCTGGTCCTCGAGCGCCGTTTTATCCTTGAGTGTCTAAACTCGGTCCGCGGTCGCAAAACCGCCAAACAATAGTGCTTTTTCCATAATAGTAATTCTAATCAAATGTGATCTTGGTGGACTTTGCGTTCATGTCGACATCCTTGAAGAAAGCGCCGTACATGTCGTGAGCCTTCTTCTTAACAGTGGTGCCGAACTTGAGGAGGTCCTCAGGCACAGGCTGGTTGGCACCTCGGAGAATGTTGACGAGACTAGACGAGTAAGCGGATGTTCATGTATGAGTCCCTAATGTACTTACGAGCCGGAGTGAGACTTGTCCTCAACAGTGAAGAAAGTGATAGCCTGGCCGGTCTTGCCAGCTCGGCCAGTTCGTCCAATACGGTGGACGTAGTCCTCGATGGTCAAGGGGAACTGTTCATGTTAGCGAATGTTTCAAGAAACCATCTGGTGAGAACGTACTGTAACGTTGATAACGAGCTTGACCTCGGGAATATCTAGACCACGAGCAGCGACATCAGTGGCAACAAGGACAGGAGTCTGTCCAGACTTGAAAGCCTCGAGACTCCTTGTTCGCTGTTCCTGTCGCAAATCACCGTGAATACCGCCAACGCGGATACCCTTGCGGCTCAGGAAGTTCTCAATACGAGTAGCCTCCTTCTTGTACAAGCAGAAAACCAGAATACGGTCGTTCTTCTTACTACCCTGCTGGTGCTCCTTCAAGACCTCGAGCAGACGAAACTCCTTTCCTCTGGGCTCAACAACTTCGACAGTCTGTGAAATTCTTGCGTTGGCCTGAAGCTCAACGGCTCCACCAGCTGTCTCCTTGCCACCAGATCCAATGGCGATCTTGACAGGGCTAACCATGAAGGTAGATGCAAGCGTCTGCACGGACTGGGGCCATGTAGCCGTGAACATGAGTGTCTGGCGCTTCTCGCGAGGAGGGCAAGCACTCAGAATCATCTTGATATCCTCCTCGAAACCCTTGTCAAGCATACGGTCGGCCTCGTCAAGAACGGCGAACGCTGCGTGGCTAAGATCAACAGTTCCATCGGACATGAAATCCTTAAGACGACCAGGGGTTGCGACAATGATGTCAGCACCACGGTTGAGGAGATTTCGCTGGTCATCCTTGGAAGCACCACCGTAAAGACAGACACACTTCATTCTGTTGAGAGCCGCGACGGAAGCCATCTGCTCATAGGTCTGCATGGCGAGTTCTCGTGTAGGCGAAACAACAACAGCCTTGGTGTGCTTGTGCTTGATAGCAGAGATGGCTTCAACGCAAGGAAGCGCAAAAGCCATGGTCTTTCCGGATCCTGTCTCGGCGACACCGATCACATCACGGCCGGCGAGGGTGAAAGGCCATGAAGCGGACTGGATGGGTGTAGGAGTCTTGTAGTTGGCGAATGGCGAGGGCTTCTTCTCGAGGAGGTTTGTGGCAGGGAGTTGGTGGAATTCCAGTACGGGACGAAGAGTAACGGCCTCGGTCTTGGGATCGGTAATGTGGATTTCGTTCTTGGAGAGAAACTCGTCAATCTCAGCTTGAGGGACGTTAGAGAGCGCAATGGTTTGGATGTAAGAGCCGCTGGAAGGTGCGTCGGCATCAGAAGAGGACTCGGTGGTAGTCTTCTTCTCCTTCTTAGACTTCTTCTTAGGAGCCTCCTCAGAGACTTCGGCAGCAGGCTCAGCAGGTGCCTCAGCGTCAGCCAGCTTCTGCTTCTTCTCCAACTTCTTGGCCTTCTTAGCCTTCTTGCGCTCCTTCTCGGCAGAGCGTTCAGCGTCAGAGTTCTCAGCACTAGGCTCAGACTCTTGGCTCTGCTTCTCCTTCTTCTTCTCCTTGCGCTCTCGCTTCTCGGCCTTCAAGCGAGCCTTCTCTTCGGAATCGACCTTGGTCTTCTTGGAGGGTCGGTCCTCGCTATCAGCGAGGGAATGCTTAGTGGCAGCCATTTTGATTTTTCAAACGTATTGAAGCGACCGGAAAGAGCTTGTACGAAAGACGGTCGATGTTATCGCAGAATGGCTGGGAACCTGCGACGCAGAAATTTGGGTGGGATAAGACATGTCGGGACAGAAAAAAAAGCAGCTTATCGATAAGAAACATAGAAACGACCCACTCGACTGCATCTTATTCCGCGCCAACACTCCACTACTAACTTTACAAATCTACTAAAGTTCCTATTATCGGAGGACCCTGAAATCAACATCGAATTGTTCCTAATTGGCTCTTACTTGTCCAATATCGCCTTGAGAATGATACAATAATGTTGACCTTCTTACCATAAGGCTCTGTATGATACATGGTTCCCTTCGTGACCAAGTTGGGTTCACAGTTCAACCAGTCGGTAACACGTGTATCCTGTTGTGTCTTGGCTATAGGAACCATCAACTCTCTAAATAACATACTACATTTCCCGGGCTCTCGAGTGCGTAACTACACTGTATGATTCTCCACCATACGATATACAAACAGGACGGGCGTCATACCTGTAGAGCTGTCACAAGGGCTTTCACGATGCAACTTCCCGTTCGGTTATGGCAACTTGGATATTGAGTTGCCATGACGCCTTACTTACTGGGAAATGCAAGAGAGTTCGAAACCGGCTTGGCAGAGTTGATCAAATTCGATTGTTATGTTGAACTGGCCTTAGAGGCTCTAATCCTTGACCAATGAACAGTGTCTGTTGTGCTATTCCGCCTTAAAAGGCTTCGAGTATTGGACATTTTCACGATCGCCCCAGTACGCCAGTCGCGAACCCTCTGGTCATGCATCCATCGTATCTTATGCACGAGTATGCTGTGCTGAAAGGTTCAGCCCGTTCACGACACGGCAGAAGGCATACAAGTGTAGGCCGGCCCCAGTTACAATGGCATCCATGTCTTGGATCCATATCGTTCCATGAGTCTTGCAGATATCTTCTAATGGATATGGCAAGCCAAGGTCTCTGCTCGCTTCCGGGCCGACCTGATATCTATGGAGTCGGTGTTCGCGCCGCATTCTACACGCAATGGCTTGGTACGTTGATCATGGAGTACATCTCTGAAGACGACCTCTCGGATTTGCGTTTCATCAGCCTCTTCTCGTCTGCAGCCGCCTCAATATCCCTTGTTATCGGGATAGCCTATAACGTCTTGAATCCGCTTGATATTTACTTTTTGCTCCTCTTTGCTATGGGCTTCTTTTTGTTTCTGATGCCATTGTGCATCTGGCGTGTGATAACAAGATGTCAACCACACCTCGACCCTTTCTTACTCACGAAGGAGATCCATGGAACCTTCTACTATCTCGTCGCTCTCACCATACTCATGACTACCGTGTCAATGGGAACATGGTATTACACCATGTTCCTACCGCATCTTAGCCGCGACTGTCGCGACGTTGTATTCATGCTAGGAAAGGTAAACTTGGATAGTAAGGGGTATGTTATAGTTGGGGCTGTCTTTTACATTGGAGTTCTTTCCAGTATTGGCGGATTTATCTTTTTGAAAACTTGTTGTATTCCAATAGCTCATCAAAGTGCCCGGGGCAGAAGAAACAGGTATGAGGAGCTCCCACTTCACCTAGCTTACAAACCTGCTGAACGTTACTAGAACAAGAATTATCTGGCATCTTAAGAAGCTTCGTCTCATATCTGGGCTCATAATATTCACACTTTTGGTCGTTGCTGTCGAGCTCCCCATACAATGGAACCATGTTCAAGGCGTCTACGACTTTGCGACCATTACTCAGTTACTTCCCTTGCTCTTCTCAATTGGTATATTCTTACGCTCCTGGGCGCTCTACGCCAGTGGCGCCAACACAACGGGAGGCGAAGCTGGAACAAGACCGAGTCCGAATCCATCGTTATCGTCATCATCGTCATCATCATCAAATAGTGAAATGGTCAACGTTGTGCGGATTTATAGATCACGCAGTCCTCGATTATATTATCCATATGGGTATGATCCTTATGGATACAACTACTATGGGTATGAACAGTACCAAGACAGACTCAACTACAACGAGAACTATTACAATAATTACGCAAATTTGTCAGAGGAATCTCAAGAGCCTCGTTGGCCTCCGGGAGTTTACTATAGTCGGCGACCATAGATTAACTATTTGTTATAAAATATATTTATTTATATCAGTCTTTACCCACCAGATCTCAAGGTGAAGTCTCGGTGAAGCACGGTGAACCCCGCCGCACAGACTTTAGATCGGATTGACCTTCACCCCGCAACCGCAAGTAAACAAAACTGTCCATCTTTAAATCCCAAACCGTAGCCTTCCATCGTCATTACCTAGAATACCCTTTTTCGGCAAATACCCACGGAAACGCACAAAATGTCGTCGAAAGAAACATCGAAGAGCAAGGATAAGGATAAGTCTAAGGTCCACAAGCTTTCTCTCAAAGGCAGCGCCCGTCTCGTCGCCGAATTCGTACGTCTACACAGCTCCTGATATCATTTCGGTCTGTGCGAGAGTTTGCTAACGGTCTCCAGTTCCAATACTCTATTCACAGCATCCTGTACGGCAAGCCCATCGATTGATAGACATCGTTTTATTAACATGTTCATAGCTTCCAGCGAGGAGTCTATCCAGCAGAAGACTTTACAGTGTACGTCCTCCCGACGATGGATCCCCCTTCGAATCGCTCGAACTAATTATATCATTCAGCGTCAAGAAATATGGCCTCAACATGCTAGGTAAAGCGCATACTTGCGATACCACCTGGCAACACATCGACTAATAACAACGTCCAGTCTCGGCCGATGACCAGGTAAAGGCATACATCAAGAAGATCATGTCCCAGCTCGACAAGTGGATGGTCGGCGGCAAGATCTCTAAGCTTGTCATTGTAATTACGGATAAAGACACAGGCGAACACGTTGAGCGTTGGCAATTCGACGTACGACTTTCCTACGCCCCTCCTATATTTCACATCTAACAAAGAGACAACAGGTCCAAATCTTCCAGCCCGTTAAGAAATCCAAGTCCTCCAAATCCGCGCCCAAAGAACAAGAAAACTCCACTGGTGGAAGCGCCGCCCCTACCGCACCTGAAAAGACAGAAACCGAGATCCAAGCCGAGATCGCTGCTATTTTCCGCCAGATTACCGCCTCCGTTACTTTCCTCCCCCAACTCAACGGCGACTGCACATTCAACGTGCTCGTCTATGCAGATGCCGATAGCGAGGTTCCCGTTGAATGGGGTGACTCGGATGCCAAGGAGATCGAGAACGGCGAAAAAGTGCAATTGAGAGGTTTCAGTACGACGAACCACAGAGTCGATACATTGGTCAGCTACCGATTCTCGGATTAGTTTTGGCGTGACGGAAAGAGTGTAAAAGAAGGACGAGTTGTTCTTTATGGGTTTTCGGGATATCTCAGGAACGATAGTCCTGAAAGGCGTTACAAGGCGCTATGGGGACTCTATTTGTCCAGGTTCAATGTTTGGCGACCACGATACGTATCAGGATGTTTTGTTATCTAATTCATGTGTACACAATCGCTAGTCATATTGACGATGCGTGCCTCATCTAGCCCTTTCTAATCTTGCAAATCAAAGTAAAGGCATGGCATAACCGCCTGTTTCTCATCAACCGCACTCCATTCACCGTCTGATGCAACCCAGCCCTTACGCCTCACCCGTTGCTGTGCTATCGATATTCTCGACTAGACTCGCTTAAAAAAGTACACATACGCAAACTTGCGCATCTCGTCAACATCATGTGCCTCGACAACCTTTTCGTCATTGAAAAGAACCCAAGTTGGGACATTAGCATCTCCCAAAGCCTTGCGGATAAAGGCAACGTAGTGTCTAGATATTAGTTAGCAAATTGATATCTTCAATTTTTCTCATGAAATACTTACCCAGCATGAATACTTGTGCCTTTGTGGCATACGATTGACCTAAGCTGGAAGGTTGCTGGCAGATCAGCGCTTCCGGCTGGCTCCTTTGTGGCAGAAGTAGCCCCCTCAGCGGGAGCATCATCTTCAAATGTTCCTTGGTCATCAGGATGACTGAAGAGCCATTCTACAGCTCTCTCGACGTCGCCACCAGTCTCCTTCAGGGCTTTCTTGGCTTGTGGGGCACCAAAGCCCATGGCTCCGAGCATTTCGATCTTTTCAGGATCAGCAGTGTTAGCTGCTCCGGTTTGAGCACCCAGATCAAGAGGCGCATCAATATCAGGGTCTTCCATGTGTCCAAACAACCATTCCATGGCGGCGTTAGCGTCGGAATTGCCAGTGGCATGAAGAGCACGCGCACAGCGGTTGTAGGGGAATCCCATGGCTTCCAGTTGCACCAGGGCAGTAGCGTCAGGTTCAAATGCAGGTGCCTTGACCTCCGGCTCATCAGGGAGTTGTTCCTCTCCGGATTGCAATCCCTCGGAAAGATAGGCGTCCAAATTGAAAGGCTCATCGGGCACAAGAACAGGGACGTCCACCTTGATTGGAACCCAGTTGACAACAGTCATCTTTCGCGCGTTAACGACTACAGTGTCGGGGAAGGTCTTGAATAGAGATCGCTTGGTAAAGCCATCCTTACTTCCACAAGCAGAGCAGGTTAATTCAACTTTCTCGGCAGCTGTGAAGTTATCGAGGCACTGTGTCAGAGATACAGGCTTGTAAGCATCTGGGTCATCCGACCCTTCCTCGCGTGGGAGCTTTTCCAGAGGGACGTCGATAAAAATATTGTCCTGCTCGTTACTGCTGTATCTCACCTTGTGGCAACCAAGGCATTGGAGTCTTTGCTCAAGAACGAAGCGGAAAGGCTCTGTAGGGTCTTTTCCATCAGGGTGAGAAGACCGAGTAATGAGCTTGAACAAATGCTGAAGAAACTCGAGCGCATCTTGCTGTCGCATGGTAGAGAATTCTTCGTGGCCTCGTCCAATAAGATGTTTGAGCATCGCTGGTGCCAGTCCTTTCTGATGTGTGATACCCTCTCCGGCAATCTCTGCGTCAGGCTTGGAATATCGTCCAGACAAAAGCCCATCGGCTACCTTTCGCAACTGAGTCTCGAGATCGGCAGCGGGTTCAGTAACAATGGGAAGGTCGGCGCCAGGTTGGAAGTACCTTGTTTGGAAAGAAGGCATGTCGAATAAGCATTGAACGATACTGGCGAGATAACAACTGTTTCCAAGGTTCTTCAGACCAGTTAGACCAGGTCCGAATAAGGGCTTCAGTTCCTTTCCATCTTCAGTAGTCATGCTAAAGTCCCACTTGAGGTTCTGTTCGATTTGCATTTCGGTCAAGCTCTTCTCGGTCTTTTGGCGCTCAGCAAGCACAATGCCCCAATGGTTCAAATGCTCGCCCAGCTTGTCATCGACTCGCTCGTCATCGCACTTGTAACAGTAGATATCTGCGGTACCTTCGGGGGTGATTGATCCAAGCTTGACGGCAACTCCATGGCCCGACTCGTTCGCGTGGGTAAGGGCATGCGAGTTCCCGTCAACGCCACCCATCTGCTTACGACCGCATCCAAGGTTGCCACATTCGATGCACAGCCAAAGGTTCTCAGCCAAGTCGCAAGCATAGCAGTGGCTCAGGTCATTTTGCTCGATCTTCTTAGAAGGCGCCTGCTGAAGCATCAGGATGTGCTCGCAGCTGGTCAGCTCCTGTTCCCAAGCCTTAACCTCTTCCTTTCGTGAAAAGGTATTGGCCTTGAGGATACCGTCAATAGTGGGAGCAAGCTTGGGATTCGTTCGGTCGAGCTCGGTGTTACAGTCGAGGCACTTCACAGCCAGTGCTGTGTCGTATCGATCTTCTTCTTTCTCGGCGGCAATGGCCAGCTTGGACATCTTGGCAGGTGGTTCATCCCGTTCAACGACTTTTCTGGAGCGGCGAATGTTGAGGGCAAGAGGGTGCTGAGCCAGCGCATAGTGAAGACTATCATGCTTCCTGTCACCGGCACATCCTCCGTTGAAACACTGCAGACAGACATTGAGGCCAGCAGGATCATCCTGTTAAGATGCAAGGTAAGCAAGTGATTTGCGATAGCGGTTGATGATGAAGGATCAAGAGAGCTGGAAGGTCTTACGATCGAGTCAAAACATTGAGTGCAGTCTTCGCGGTAGACGGACTGAGAAGGATTGGGGGGTGTCAGCCCTGAAATAACGAATGTCAGCTTGTGAATCGGCGGATTGAAACGGCTTTGAAGCTTGTCGCAGCTATCATGACCGGCCGATAGTAGATCAAATGGCGGGGTTGCATTTTAGCGGTTGACGTACCGATCAAGTCGAGATGCGGGCAAGCCATAGTAAATGATGGTTGGGTTTGTCTCTTTCTCGGAAGAATAATCAGAGAATGAGAGATATAGAGGAAGCGATGGCAATTCGTACAAGTTGATGTGGAATCAAAAGCTTAGCTTAAGAATCATTATTGAAGATGAAAGCTTTTGACAGGTACAGTGCATTACAGTAACTGAGGTACCTGCGCGGCGGGTCGGGCAATGATAGGCGGTAACCCACGTCACTGGAGCTATGAGCTGCCTGGGGAAGGCGGGGCGATGGATGGATGAGTCAGCAATCTATAGGCCTCTACTATGATTCCATTCAGGACTGCATGAGTACCTACAGCTGATAATTTCCAATATCATGATTCCACATAGAAATATTGTTAATTACTAGAGCTCATATCTATATCTGGCTGGATTGTTTCTACCGACAGTGATTATGATATCGGAATGCTACAGCCCTACAAGCACACATGCCAAATAGCAAGACATGATGACTTGGAGAACCGACTTACCCGGGAGTCATGATGTAAGCTGTAAAGATAGAACAAAGTCCTATACCGGCATAAATCAATAGTCATGAAAGGTTACTAAGTATAGGAATATTGAATAATTAAGCATTTCATAACATATCTGGTATTTCGTAGATAATCATAATCGGCCATCAATTTAGCAACACAACCTCCAACCTTAATAATTCTTACAAACTCTTCACATCAACATTCTCTTAAACCCCGTTCTTCTCGTTATGAGTAACCTCTCCCTGGTGATCGTTTCCACCAAACATCTTACCATCAGGTCCTGAGACACTCTGGCGATGCTCCCAAGACTCAGTGGGCCTCCACTGCTTGGACTTGCTAGCAACACTGACTTCATCGTATAGCTGATCAACCTCCTCAAGGGACAGACCCTTGGTCTCGTAGATGAAGAAGTATACGAAAGCAATGCACAGGAAACAGCAACCGAACCAGATGAAGAAGATCTTGGACTGGAGGTTGGCCTTTCCGGGACCGAAATCGACGAGGTAGGGAGTAGAATAAGCTGCAATATGTTAGTGACATGACAATAGAAGATTGTTGGAGCGAGCAACATACCGATGGCCCAATTGAAGAGCCAGTTAGTGGCGGTAGTCATACTGAGAGACTTGGCACGTGTCTTGAGAGGGAAGATCTCTCCAGTAACGACCCAAGCCAGAGGACCCCAGGTAGAGGCGAAGAAGAAGATGTAGATACAGACAAAAGACACAGCAGCCTTTTGGCCGGCCAGACTCTTGACAAAGATGGTTCCATCAGAGTTCTGCCCCGTAGAGAAAGTACCGCACATGGCCACGATGAACTGCGAGATACACATGCCGACAGCACCCCAGAGGAGAAGAGGTCGTCGACCCCATTTGTCGATGGCGTACATTCCAGGGATAGTAGAGGCGACGTTAATGGCTGAAGTGATCATGGAAATAACGAAACCGCTAGAGATACCCGAGTTCTGGAAATACTTGGTACCGTAGTAGAACTAGAAGCTTGTTAGACATATTCCCGTGAAACCAGAGCTTTTGCAAGGGGGTGAATTACAATAAAGTTAATGCCAGTAAGCTGCTGCAGAGCCTGGAGAGCACAGCCAGTGAACTGTCGCTTCAGAATAGGAGGCTTGAAGCAGTCGAGGTATGAAGAAGTTCCAATGCTCTTCTCGAACTCGTGGTTGGCCCTGACCTCGGCGAGCTCAGCTTGGACAGCGGGGTGATCAGGACTGAGACGACGGATTTTAGAGAGGGCGCGGGCTGCAGCGTCATGACGATCTTTCTTGATAAGGAATCGAGGAGTCTCGGGGAGAATGATCATTCCACCGAAGAGGATGAGGGAGTACGCGAACTGAACAGCGACAGGGATACGGTAAGAGCCTGTATCGTTGCGGCCACCTGTTGCGTTGTTGACAATGGCTGCTAGTAAGAGACCAATGGTAATGGCCCATTGATATGATCCGACAATGGCACCTCGAATCCATTTAGGAGCCGTTTCTGACTGGTAGAGAGGGACTGGATAGCGTTAGTTACGGTTCTCTATATTTTCATTCTGATATTGTAAAACTTACTAATAGCAGAGATCTGACCAACGCCGAAACCAGCAAAGAATCGGCCAGCCAAGAACAGAGGAATAGACGTGGCAGCAACTTGAAGAGCAACACCGAGGTTGAAAACCCAAGTAGCAATCATGAGACCAGGACGACGACCGATAGAGTCAGTCATGAATGGTGAAGATAAAGCACCGAAGAAGGTACCGGCAGAAAGAATCGAGACAATGCTGGATTCCTGCCCTGTTGTAATGTTCAGGTTGCCCTTGGCGTCTTTGTAGCCAGTGCTGAAGAGGCGCTGCCAGTACGGCATGGCTAGGATACCTGAGATGGTACCGGTATCATAACTGCGAATGACCTGTTAGACTGAATCGTGGTAGTTACTTGGGATTAAGGACGGAACATACCCGTAGAGAACACCACCAAAGGCGACGAAGCAACCGATGGCGATAGCAGGCCATGTCTTGCCAGCCTCCTCGGGCTTGCTGAGCGATGCCCTTCGAAGAGTATTCATTTTGGAGGTTTGAGCTACCAGCTAAGGACTTCAAATTGAAGGTGTTGGAGCTGTATTTGCTTGGTAGGATAGAAGTGGAGGAAAGCAAAGCTTAGTGATGCTTTGCTTATTGTGTATGAGTGACTTGGGACAAGAGAGTTAGTTGCACATGTGGGAAATCGCTCCCTTTTAAAGACAAATAAGGTCGGTCGATCACAGAGACTAATAAGCTTTTTGTTCTGTGGCCCCGAACCAAACGGCCACAATCAGAGCCAAACTCAATGGGTATAACATGAGGGGGACAGAGGAGAGCTCTCTTTCTGGTAGTGTGCGGATTGACCGGCTAGTGGGTGCAGCATAATAGCTAGGTTAGCAGATGCGGAGTAGCCGCACCATCAACTTGTGACGAGGAAGTTAAACCAGCAACCTACTGGAGTCTGTACAGTGGTGGGTGAGATTGTGGGGTTATCAGACATGGGGAGAGGAAGAGGGAGAGGAAGAAGAGGAGGGGGAGAAGGTGGTTTGGTGATTGGTACAGCAAGGATCTCTGTGCAGAATGTTTAGAGTATCAAGGGCATCCATGTCGTCACTGGCGGAGTTGACCAGACGTCTTTGAACGCCTCGGCCGCATTGAGCCCGACGGTGTAGGACTAAAAGTAGCGAGGAGGAGCTGAGGAGTTAGACTTGGGCCTAAGAGTAAAAAAGACGGGTAGATGGTGGCATTTTGATGATTGAAGAAATATAAGAGGGGAGTCTATTGTAGAGAGATGCAATTCTGTAGGTTCTGTCTTCTGTAGACTCTTTCCTCTATACACTCATAGCTTGAGGGTTGGGCTCTCCAGACAACTCCGTCCCCCCGGGCTATCCAGTCCATGTTTGTGGAGTAGATGTTGGAGAGACCTGGAGAATAGAGAATAGAGACTAAAGCTAATGTATGAAATGCTGGGGTTGAGAGTGGATACTCTCCCCGAGCCAAGACCCGGGCCAGGCCGGCTCGGCGACGCAGATGCCGAAGACTATTACTCTTTTAGGCAAGTCTTTATTATCTTTGCCACGACTAAATAATCGCAGCGACAAAGAATGCGTTTGATTTTTAATTTCAACATCATGGTATATTCCAGTGAAGGTGTGCTCACTGTCTGATAGAGTCGTCAGCTTGTGTGTGTTGCCCCGACTTGGTGGCATGGGCATGATCGCGTGTGTCAATTATAGTGCGCACGCAAAGGCCATCAAGTTCGGGCCTTTTGTGGGAGAGTTTTGGTTTCTCTGATGATTTCAATCACATCATAGAGTGCCTCGTTTAATTGTCTAGATCGCGTTTATGGCAAAAAGTAATTTCCTCTAATCATGCAGATGTGACACTTGATCAACGCGCCCCGTCTACACTATCAATCACCTCACCCAAATGCAATGCTGCATTGCAAGGCTGTGAAAGCCTGTTGATGATTAGGGATGGAAGTAGCCCTTGTTTATGGGTCTAACCTTGACTGTGTTACTGTTCACCTGCAGGACAATCCCCTTATGGCTGCACTGAAGGCTCTAACCTTAACTTTGTTGCTCCTTGCCTGCAGGACATCAACAAGTTACAGTATTCTGCATTAAGTTGTTGTTATGATAAAAATTACACGGAAGTATGATGTTTACAAGTTAAGATGTCCCCGTGACGAACAAAGCAAATGCTATTAACTCAAACTCGACTGATCAGTGGCTGACTCTCTAGCCAACTCGGCTCACAGACTAACTTAGTCACTTCCCCATCCCCATCCTCGCCCCTGTCCCCCAGACATCCATCCCTCAAAACCCCGCATCTTGGCTCGACCATTCTATCAGTTGATCGATCCCTCTCCCATCTCCAACTTCTCCCCAGTTGTCGGTCCGGTGACCTAACCCGGACCCTGGTCTAGCGTAACTCTTGCTTTGCGGTGCCACCGAAAACTGCACCGTTCTCACTCGCTTCAACGGTTATCGGCATCAGGAAATGGAGTCATGTTGGAGTCTGGGCAGGGATAGATCATTAGATGTCTTTCAAACAGTGACAACCTTTGGACTACAAGTCGGCGGTATTATGGAGCATGGTTTTGCATTTGAGTCCAGGGTTGAAACGATCGACACTGACCGTTGAGGGGAAGAGACGAATCATAGGTTGGGAGATGCATTACTTGCAGACACTATTTCGACACTTGTCGGACCGTTGGGATTCTGACTTGAGACGACTGCAACCTAAAGTTGCAATTTCAACACCTCCGCAAAGTGCTGTAACTGGGGATGCATATTGTCTGTGTGCTTGCGTATGTCAAGATAAGCGACAACTCCAGACTTGAGCAATTCTAAAACCTGGAGAAGACACTCCGCTATTATGGGGATGATTTGCGTATATTAGGAGCATTTTATTGTAAAGCTGCAAGGGTCGTTTATCTACGAAGAAACGGCTAGTTTTGCTTTTATGGTATTATATCGAAACGATAGAATGATGACATCTCACTATTCCCCTAGTTACTATTGCATCTCTTAGGTAACATTACTAAGAGCTCTTTTGATAGATAGAAAGTTAACAGTGCCTCCGCCTCTAATTATTTTACCAGTTGTAGCTATCGAAATATCGTATTTCTCCTTATTCTGAACATCATATCATAACATTAGAGAGCTCGGTGTTGATATTCACATGTTTCTTAGCTACCTATGATACTATAGCTTTATCGGAGATAGGGTTGCCTAATATAAGTGACATATATCTGCCTGACGGGCGTAAGTATGTATTATTAGACTGTTCTGCAGAGCCCTAAGGCATTGGATAGTGTTCCTTGGCACTGGCAAGCAGCTGTCACTGTCAAGCACTGCAACCTCCAGACAAAGAAACAATGGCATTCACGCGTCACGCGTAGCGCATTTCTTTATCTTGTTTTCTGCTTCCTTTTCTTTGTGCTCCGGTAACTTGACTCAAAATAAATACAGCATCAACAAGCACCCGATCGGCCTTCTTGTTGGGTTACACAAAAAGTAAGTCCTCCACCTCGTGCATTAGTACCTGAACGACTCGACTCTTATGCTATTTGAAGAAATGCATCACTAACTCTCCTACAGACCACCATGGAGCACATCCCTACTGATTGTGCGCCTGACTGCGATCACACCCTTACTGTCGAAAGCCTTGCGAGCCACTGGGAAAAGAGCTGGTCCCATGGCAAGCTGGTTCTGTCGCACGTGGAAAGGGTCCTCCCAATGTATGAACAGGCCAAGTCCTGCATGTCACGCCAGAGTGTTCATGAACTTTATCTGTACCTCAAAACGTCCAGATGGATCAGCGTTGCTGACAGACCGAGTTCCCACCAAGCCTACAAGTACTTTCGGGGACTGTCGTCCAACCGCCCAAACCAACCTCTCCGGTACTATCCCTACTATTTCATCATGCAGGCTCTATTCCCAAACAGTGAGGCTGTCAAAAAAAATGTGCTTCGACATGGAGCATCACTGGGGAGTAACACTCGATTTCACCCAGCCGTTTTATCCTCGTCTCGACAACGCTGAACAGGAGCGTAAACTTATCATGGGACACATCCAGCCCAAATATGAATCTGTTAGTTTGAACTCGTCACTACCTACCTCTTACTCAGGCTTGTCAACTGGTCAGAGCATCAGCGGTCCTTCCGAGTCCAACAAAGAGTCCAGTGACACGCTACCCACTACCAACGATCAGGCAGCCGACAGCCGCAACATAAACTTCTTTCACGACTACGAAGAACGACTCAGCGGTGTCAAAAGCGACTTCAACAAACGTCTTTCCGATTTGCAGAGCCGTCTCGAGCTTCAGAGGGATATCGGGGAAGACTAGGAAGACTCCAAGCGAGATCTTGACGAAGCTCGGGAGAAGACCAAGAAGATCCATCACCACCTTGTGCAGTCCCGAAATTACAAAGAACAAGCTCAGGCCTACGCGGAAAGGGCTAGTGAACATGAAAGCGCTGCTGCTGAGATGGTGAAATCGCTCATAGAGAGTCTAGGCTCGTCCAACAAGCGTTCTGCCAGAGACTCTTCTGGTGGTGCTAGACGTTCTAGCAAACGACTGCGCGAGAACTGAACGAGAGGACTCGGATGGTATTCATGGGTTCACATTGTACTAGATTGAGCCTGAAAATTAGGCCGAGGGACCGACCGATATTGCAGGAGTATACGTCGATAATAGAGGCAGCAAAATTTCGACTGGGTTAGGGGATCCAAAGGTAGATACCCTACGACCTACGCCAAACTTAGTACATACTAGTATGATGCTCCCAGCTACCAACTGGAAGGTCTAGAGGTAGAGACGAGTGTTTAATGCAATTAAGGATTTTAACATTCTAATTACTTAATATGTATGTACTCTATGTGATATTATGCCAAACACTTAGCCAAATAGTAATCCAGCCAACTCCCTTCATATATGTATACAATACTTCCTAGACGATCTAGCTATATATTACTCAACCACTCACAGCCAAGTCCTGCTCATACTAAGCCTCTTGTAACTACTCTGCAGTGGCTTCCCATACTCTCTCGCTGTACTCGTCGCCTCAGCAGCAACCTCCTTCCCACTTGACTCATCCTGGAAGAAGTAGTGATTCGCGCTCGGCGCAAATGCAACCTTCCAGGGCACGACGAGCTGCTTCTTCTCGGGACCGCCTCCACAGCTGCCGTGGAAGTTGCTGCTGGGCGGACTGTTAATCGCCAGCGAGAACAAGTTCTGCGGTTCTGTAAAATCGGTGACCAGGCCGGAGCGCATAATGAAGTAACCGAGGCAAAAGAGATTGATGGCGAAGACGAGAACCAGGATCACGTAGAAGATGTTCTGCCAACCCTGCGTGTGGCCCGACGTGTATTCCTGCGTGATGAGTGACGCATTGAAAGCTTGGAGGAAGCCCGGTCCTTCAGTGATGAGGTTGCCAGGGAACTCTTCGGGATCCTGATCCCAGTAATGGCGAAAGGGCGTGTCGATGGCGCTGATCATGATGAGCGAGCTGGAGTAAACGGCGAGGGCCTCGGCCATAGAGGGGTGTGAGGCGGGCATCTTGGGTTCGTGGAGGGCGAGTTGGGTGAGGATGCGAGCGTTGGAGGCGTTGTTATTAACAGAACCTCCGTTGAGGTCCATGGACAATCGCCATTGATCGGCGAGCCACTTCCAGTCAAGGGAGGGAAGAGACCAGCCTTGGTCAGCAGGGAATGATCGACGATATGCGTTCTCATCTTGGTCATCTTCACAGTGAGCGTTCATGTGAGCACCAGCTGTACCGGAAATGCTGAACTCTGTAGAGCAACTGGGAGAAACCCAGGACCGAAGCTGACAGAGGGTATAGTTCTTGCTTTCAGCGTTCTTACCGAGGGTGTAAATAGCATCACCGGCATAGACAGTCGCGTTGGTGAGCAGGTTATAGTCGAAGGGGTACTGTGTCATGTTAGATACCATCTTTATTATTCAGGTCAACTGGACATACCATTTGAAAGACAGGAGGACGACGCTCGTACTTGGGTCCCCATTTGAAAATGTCATCAACGTCAGTTCGGTTGAGGTAGTAGGGCTTATCCTTGCTGTCTATCGGCTGAGGTATTTCACCGGTCCAACCAATCCATCCCGTCTTCTGGCCAGGAATAACGGTATTATTGTTTTTGGCATTAGGCCATGTTGTATAGACGAGAGGTGAAATCTCATCCTTGTCCACGTCGACACACAAAACATTAACGGAAGGCGAAACGACGCCAGCTCGGACCGTGTACTCTCCTACACCGGCGAGGTCATCGGGCTGAAGGATACCGTTCTTCTTGAGGGTTGCAGCGCCGTAGACTCCAGGGTGAGGAAGGGCCAAGGTAACATTATTAATAATTCGTCCCGTCTCTTCGAACTGCGCAGCAACATCGCTATGCTCCGTCTCGATCCACTCAGAGAACATGGTCGTGTTGTCAAACAGAAGTGTAGTTCCACCAGGTCTTTTCTTCGGGTCTGCAGAGATCTCGGTTCCGTTTTGGTTGATGTTTGTCCAGACTGTCATGTAGTTGAGTAGGTTTCGGTATGACTGCCCAGAGAACTGCACGTTCATACATGACTCTGCGGCGTGGATATCCTCGGTGATGTTGAAAAGATAAGGGCAGTCTTGACGGACGTATGCGGCGTTGGCATAAGAGGCCTTGACATAGCCCTCTAGTTCCTTGTGTTGCCAGTTTCCAGACTTGAGCTTTGGCGAGACCATTGCGTCTGAGGCGGTGGTGTAAAACGCAGCAGCAAGTGTAGCAGTGAGAGACAGCATACCGAGAAGAGTCAGTGAAGATGAAGGGAGAGTCTCGAAGTGGGTTATTAGAGATCCAGGCTGGATGACCCAGTTACGCATCGTCATCTCAGCAAGAGACATTCCTTGCGCCTTTCGGATGAAAGCTCGTCGAGTGAGAACCTGACCAAGACACGAGACAAAAACTGTGACAAAGGACATTTCGATCGTCTTTGCTAAAAGGGCGGCGAGAGTCGTGGCGGTTGACGGTGAGAGTGAAGCACTTGATGCGATCTGGTGACCCCATCGCGGTTGAAGGATGGCCGTCACTAGCCAGATACCACTTCCGACCGTTGAGTAGACAGAAAGAACATAAATGGTAATAGAAAGCCAGCTTGATCTAGGCTGGTGAATGTCTCGATTTGATGAGCAACCCTTGGGAGGCTCAGCTATAAGATATGAGCATGACAAAGATATACAAGAACGAAGAAAAGAAACTTACCGAATTTCTTATAAAAGATCTCATCGTCAAATTCATCATCCATCTCGTCCCTTCTAGGCTCAACAATTTTCGGGAGCTTCGGTCCAGATGAAGATGAAGGCATAATCTCTCTTTCCTGAGTTGTGGGAGTCTGCTTAACCTTTTCAGTAGCACCAATATCTGTCTGCGAGTTCCCTCTGGAGTGAGGCATCGACGGGGCCCAAATCTCAGAATATGGCTCTGGAGTTCCTTGAGAGTTGGCGGTGCGCGGACTAAAAGAGCCTTGAGCAGGAGTATGATGAGGCGAGTCACCGCCCATCAAGTTGTGAAAGGAATGCGGTGTCTCAGGTGGACTCAATTTGTGATGTTGATTTGGATCCGGAGACTGGGACTGAGACTGAGACTGAGACGGTGCCGATCCCATAGAGATTCCCAGCCCGGAAGCGGAAGTTGAAGCTGCTCCGAGGTTGGACATTTCGTGTTGATTATGTTGTTGCTGTCCACTTTCTCCTGTTGTTTCCGACGACGACATCATGAGAGGAGAGTAATAGCCACTACTATTCCCAAATATGTTTATACCGTGACTTCTCTTCGGTGGTTGGAGACTCTCAAAGTGATCGTCGGAGTAAGTGAAAGGACTTGAAGCAAAAGGGTCGGCCATTGCGGTGAAGGGGGGACAAGACGTATTTTTCTTCCTTTCTTTTTTTTCAATCATATGCAGAAAATGATGCTGACGCTGGTCTGAGAAGCTTGACCCATGCTTTCTGCTCATCCAGAAGGTCGTGAGTTGCGAAGGATTCTCGCTTGAGCCTGTTGGTTGAGCAGGGATATCACTAGTAGCTAAAGTCAACGTGGCGCAGGAACAGACCCAACAACAAAGAAGCCCATACAAAGAACTACTCTAAAAGTCTCGAATTTGTGTCTAAAATTACAGCGGTCAAGCCTAATTCGACTCAACATTGTGGTCCTTGCTCTTGTCACAAACACAAACATCAACACAAACGCGTAACGTAAACACGACATTCTCCTTGAGATTGAGATGAAATAACAAGGACCCATTTTAGTTAGTTATTAGCTACAGCTACTTGCTGCACTGTAATAAGGCTGAGTCCTTGTCAAGTGGATGTTCGTCAGTCCCTAACGTGGTTGAAGGGAGGCTGACCGCTATAAGTGGACCAGCAAACGATCGATCAGCACGCAGAGCTACTGAGGAGGCTATTCAACAGGAACGGACTGTATTCTGGTGTTGTCAGCTTCTCGAATTTACTGTGTGAAAAGTAAAAATAGTTGCTGTCTCGATTCGACAGTGGCGGTCATATTATCTGAATCCTATGTCTACCTAAGCCCTGCGAGACTCTTGTGCTTGTGTAGTAGGCCATACATCTTTCGCGCATAAGTTTATCCTGCTAGCCAACTGGACAATTGAGGAGACTATTCGCTAATGTACTGTAAGTTAGCCATTTTCAGGAACGGAACGCCACTGTTTCATCAACTCTAGTCTTGTATTATAACGATACACACTTCAATCAAAGAGGTCTTATTAACCAATCTGATCGATTCCTCTTTGACTCTTTGAGTTCATCCCAACTAAGGCTGTGTAACGCTTCGCTTACTGCCATGCAATGCAATGCAACTGCACTTCGCCTCCCATTCCCTCAACGGGTGGATCATATCATTGCTGACAGGTTCCACCTTTGATCCTTTATACCAGGGTATTTATTTATCATGCTGTCAGCATCCGACGCCAAGGCTTGTCCGGTCTTTGCGCGGTATCCGGTTGCATACTGGTTGATAGAGTTGCCTAGACCATATATGAAAGGATTACGAATATAGATAGACTCCGTCAACCCATTTTAACACATCGGAGACTTTTAGGTGGCTGCAAGTAAGCGTGGCAATGTTGCATTTTAGGATCTAGCCCCCAGTCTTGGTCATCCTGTTAGTTTACAACTCATTTCAACAGACGATCCTGGCTGGATCTGGGGTTACCAAAGTCCCAAGGTTATAGTAACTAAATATCAAATGGTTTCTATAACCAACAACTCAAACTACCCATTACTAATACAGCCATACGTATACTCACACGACAAGTCTCATCCATCACGATATATACACGCGCATATTGCTCCCATACAAATCCCCCTTTGGAATCTGCACATCATCATCATGAAAATCATGCAACATGAGCCAGCAAATCATCCGTAGAACAAGAGTGCACCACAACTCCTTGCAAGCCAAAAGGTACGATACGTACTCTGCTGTCTGGGCATGTCCCCCTTTGACTACGTTAAATTCGGAATCAGCCGTCTTCAAGTTGAAGAATCTGGCTGAGCAGGAGATTTGCACGGCTGGGAGGATTTGTTGGAAATAAGTTGCCATCAGAATTTCTTCTTTGTCGCTACTGTTCAAGCGCGGGAATGTCTGGCCATTCATTTGGGATAGAACCTCATCAAAGTGAGAGCCAATAATATCCTGTACAAGCGGCGTTTGCGTAGATTTTATGAGCGTCTCGTCCAGCTCTTCGAGTACAGAATGTAGAGCATCCTGAGCTTGCCAGCTATAGTTGGTTGGAATATCTCGTTGAAGTTGGATCTCCGTCTTTGGGGCCAAGAGAGTATTGAGGTGAACAAACAGCTGTCCATGTGCCGTGTCTTTATCGTCATGTAAGTACTTTCGATACGAGATGAGTAGCTTTGTTAGAGAGAATCCTCTTGTGCTCCAGGTGCAGTAACATGGGTTCGGTATGTATCTGAAGCAGAGATCCTTGATGTGGAATACTTGACCCATCATTCCCATAAGTTCAAATGTTACTGGAAGAAATTAGCAACAATTAATATCAGATGGAAGTAGCGGGGCTTACTTGGGAAGATATGAGATGTTACAGCACCATCTCGTAGGAAATAGTTTGACGACTTGCGATTACATCCAAAAGTAGCCAGAGTATCAGCCATATCCTTTCGACTCCCCAAACAAACAACACGCGAAAAAATGGTCGGAAGCTGTCCAAAGGCAAGTCTCGTAACCTCTCTGTTGGGAACCAGTCTGTTCTCTTCAAAAACAGTCTTGTCCAGAGCCTGGAGGTAAAACATAACACCAAGACCACTAATCTTGTGGCCTTTAACAAGGAACCCGTTCCCTTCAGCTTGGTAGATGTTGTAGGTCGGGTTAAAGTCACGCCAGTATATGCCCAACATGGCAAGCATTTCTATCAGCTGGCTCATGGTGGTGGTTGCATATGGACGGTTTACTGAAGGGGGCATATCATCCCAGCTTTTTCTCTCACATTGCAAAGCTGCTCGCAGACTGTGCTTGCCTGCGACGGAGCTGAGTATTGCTTGAGCACTGGCTGGTCGCGGTCTGAGACTCATGATCTGCTGTCTCGTCCAGTTCTGAGACTGATTCTCCATCTTTTGCAGACTCGACAGGAGTGTGAGCCACGTCGCGCGTTCATTCTTCACAACCCTGCCTGTCTTGGTCCTCGTGCTTGTAGGAGGTGGCTCGAGATCTGTGCGTGTAGCATCCAGACTCTTTCGTGTTCCATCGATGAAGTGCACCTGCGCACCTTCGATGTATCCCTCAGTTGATCCCGGAGTCGATACAAAGATAAAGGGAACTTCAAACTGGATCTCTGTACGAAACTCTTTAGACTTCCACGTCTTTGTCCGAGAGTTGCTCCATCTGCCAATGACGTTCTCCCCACAGTTGGGAGGTGGACGGAACTGCTTGAGAGAAAATGGTGCTTCAGGGCTGGGTTCTATGGGAGACTTGACGACACTTCGCATTGTGATAGCTCTCATCAAGTCTTTGGATATGCGCTGGTTTCCGGCCATGTGTGCGTAGTACTCGGGATGCTTCAGCTCGGTCCTGCTCATGATGGGAAATGCTGAGAGGATGGATGACTTGTCGGCGAGACTGAAGCTGGTCATAACTGAACCTGCCACGGATCGATTGCGAGCAGAGTATATCGAAAAGGCGTCGGTAGAGTTATAAACGCGTTGATAAACACCCGAATTCTCAAGGGTTTCTTCGAATTCCCTTCGTGGTGGTGAAGAGACACCATTGCTCTCCGTCTTGGTTGAAATTTCCGCTGAAGAAGTGCGCTTCGGCACAGGTCGAGCTATCTGAGGCACAGTCGCTCCCTGCGAGGGAAAACTCAAAGATCTTTCATTAATCGAACGAAATGTATTCCAATCCTCGTGATCTTTGTGAGACGTGGCTACAGATGAGTTGTCCGTGTCACCGTCCTCTTCCTCCTTCCAGTTAGCCAGTGTCGTCCCCACAGATGATCTGTTAGAGGGGAATAAAGCTGGGTTCTCTATGATGTATGTGTTGAACATGGCTTCTATTTTCTCCACGCGCAATTGAGTCAATTCGCTGTTTCGTACGATTTTATCAATCTTTCTGGCCAATTTGTTTTGTGATTCGATAATTACTACGTCTGAATCGCTACCTGATGTCAGCATATGTGATAACAGAGAGGTAAAGAGTCTCACCATTGCAATATGTTCAGGATAAGAGTCACAGAACCCTTGTGAGCTTGTATCTCACGTACGTACTTGACCACGTCGTCCTGCACCCGAAGCCACTTGACCTTGCCCAGCTTCGTCCGAGCCAGAGCACGGTTATCATCAAACGGTTTGAGAACCTCGATGAGGCCATCACAGGTCGTTACTAACTCGCTGATGGTGACAGTCGCATCATGAAGACCTAGCGACGTGCCTGAAGTCTTGGCCACTGAGTTGGGGTCATCGATTATGCTCTTAAGTCGGTTAATAGCCCAGTGAAGTTCGCTGGTCTCGGCCTGTGCCCACTCAACTGTTCTGGGACAATCTTCCATGTTTGTTTTTATCTTGTCAAAGGCTTTGATGATGGCGGCTGCGACTGTTAGTAGACCAGCCACGCCGCTGGCGATACTAAGAGGATCCATAGCTGGAGAAGGGGAGAAAGGTTGATGAGGGACGTAAACTTGAGAAGAGACATTTTCTGAGGTCCATCTGGCAAACAATTATATCATCGGCTGGAAATCAGGCTGGCAACTCCTGGTTCCTATAGGATGAGTAGCGATGCAGCCTTGTTGAGCAATGATGTATTGGTACATATTGGTTGGCATGCAGGGAGCTACTAAAGTACAGTAGGATCACTAGTGTCTCGGAGCTGAATCACACTAAAGTTATATAAAATGCATTCACTGAGTCTGCCTTGGTTGCCTGGTGAGGCGTTTTTATGTTAGTGAATTTCTCGCATCATATGTCCATATATGTCGACTGTCTAAAATATCTAACCAGTTAGCTGTGTTTTATATTGTTGAAGACTTGCTGAGACAATATCATCATGTCTGGCCTCAATTCATCATCCTTTAACAAACTAGAGTCTATTCACTTACCATTATCGGTCCCAATACCCGTCCATGCATAATCAGCCGCAACATACCAGGATTATCCAAACCACATGATAATCTCCACCATCTCTCAACTTCCCCTCTTCCTTTCCCAGCCCTACGAGCCTAGAGCCGAGCTTACTCTAGGGCTGACGGACCGGGTCAATTGCGAGCTGCAGACTACAGGGGGCGGCTGGACCTTTCAAGGGACTTTTGGGGGCCAAGCTTGTTTGCTGTTGGACCAAGGCGTTCTTGAGTAACGAGAGCGAGACCTATCCTGGTCACATTTTTCTTATTCACCGTCTTACAGCATAAAGTATTCACATGTAGTCTCAAGCCAAGACAGTTGAAGCGCTTCAACAGCGCCAAAGTTACATCAAGGAGGAATCCAACCATGTCTCTCCCTTGTCTGTGAACTTGCAAGGAGTCCTTTGATGGCTTGGCGGCTGACGGAACTGAAGGAATAAGACCATTTAAGCGCCTATGTTCCTGCCGTACATAGACGATAGTTCTTGCTTCATCGACGGTATAAAAGGCGCTTTGGGGCCCGTTCTGGAACTTAATTTCTCTCCATTCTTTCTCAGCAACTCATCTTGACACTCTACATCTTCTCTTGAGTGAACAAGTTGTGAACATGTCTGCGTCTATTTCTCGCTCATCGTCTCCCACCAGGGCTTCCATCGAAGGCTTGGGAGACCGATCAAAGGTTACACCTCAGCAGGTGATTGATAAATTCTGGAAGCAGTTCACCACAAAGAACCCAGGAAAGGGTAAGCTAGCCTCCTTCCACAGCAAAGGGCAGTGACTCACAATCCTCAGCAACAACTGTCATTCCCTCAAACACGTACACCGAATTTGCTGCCAAAAGAGGTAACCAGGTCACCACAACAACCTGCCAAGCTTCGTACGAAGACGCCGCAGCAACATGCCGCGCCAAAGTCGAAAAGATTGTCAAGGAGTGTCGTCGCATTAACAAAAAGTACCGCGATCCTCACTTTGACATCGAGCAGGATCTCAAATGGGGTCAGAAGGACTGTCTTCGGTCTCTCTCCAACATAGATGATTTTGTCCCTGGTGAAGACCTCACACCTGAGAGTGTCAAGCGTGTCGGTGATATTTTCGACAAGCCTCGCTTCTACATCGATGGTCCTACTGCCAATGATATCCGACAGGGCCGTAATGGAGATTGTTGGCTCATTGCTGCTCTTTGTACCCTGAGTGAGAAGCCGGGTATGATTGAGAAGCTCTGTGTTGCCCACGATCAGGATGTTGGTGTCTATGGTTTCGTATTCTACCGCGATGGCGAGTGGATCTCGGAGATTGTTGACGATTTTGTATGTCTCTTGGCCATCATATAGTGACATAGCACTAACCATTCCCAGCTCTATCTGATTAAGCCCGACTACGACGAGGGCTACCTCGACCGAGTTCTTTTTGACGATATCGAGCGAGTTGATCCAGACGAGGCCTACCGCCGCATCTATCAGTCCAACAGCAGCGCCCTCTATTTTGCACAATGCGCCCACCCTCAAGAGACTTGGCTGCCTCTCCTTGAAAAATGCTATGCCAAGGCTCATGGTGACTACTGCTCTATTGAGGGTGGTTTTGGAGGCGAGGGTCTTGAGGATCTCACTGGAGGTATCACATCTGAGCTGGCCACAACTGATATCCTCGACAAGGCAGGTACCGTACTCTCTTTCTAGAACAACCAACTAATACATCAACAGGAGTATTTTTGGAAGGAGCAGCTCCTCAAGGTCAACGATGAATTCCTGTTCGGATGTAGCACTGGAATCTTTGGCGGCGCCTGGGGTGAGCGTAAAGGAATTGTTGAAGGTCACGCCTACTCTATCCAAAAGGCTGTAGAAATCGACGGCAAACGATTGCTCAAGGTCAAGAACCCCTGGGGTAAACATGAATGGACTGGTCCATGGAGTAAGTGAATGTTCCCTTTCACCACATGATGTCTACTAACAGATACTAGGCGATGGGTCAAAGGAATGGACCGCCGAATGGCTTCAAAAGCTCGACCATCGTTTCGGGGACGACGGAGATTTCTGGATCTCATACGAAGACTTACTTAGAAAGTACCAGGCCTTTGAGAGAACCCGTCTCTTCACCCCTGAGTGGCGGGTCACCCAACTCTGGGCATCGCTATCCGTCCCCTGGGCCCTGGACTACCACGACACGCACTTTTCTTTCGCCCTTTCTAACTCGGGTTCTGTTGTGATTGCCCTGTCCCAGCTCGATGACCGTTTCTTCCGAGGCCTTGAGGGCCAGTACCGTTTCGAGCTTGGCTTCCGTCTTCACAAGGCTGGCCACTCAGACTACGTCGTTCGCAGTCAGACTCCCTTCCGTATGACACGTTCCGTCAATGTCGAGCTCGACCTCGAAGCAGGCGACTACGAAGTCCGCGTCAAGATCAACGCCACACGCGATCACGAAATCCTGCCCATTGAAAATGTCATCAAGAACAACGCCAAGTCACGACGCGAGAAGCTCCTCCGCATTGGTCTCGCCTACGACCTTGGCCACTGCAAGGGGCGATTTGTCGAGACGCCCGAGGAGAAGGTTGCTCGACAGGAGCACGAGAAGAAGATCAAGCAGAAGAAAAGGGACAAAATCAGGGCCAAGATTCTCAAGGATCGCGAGGACAACCATTATCTCGTGAAGCAAGATTTCCAGAGGAGCGAGCATAAACGACTCAAGAACAAGGAGAGGAGGAAGCTCAAGGAAGCTGCCTTGAAGGCTAAGCGGGAAGCTCGTCAAGCTGAGAAGAAAGCTGCCAGAGCCGAAAAGATTGCCCAGAGGGCACTGAGGCGTGAGGCCAAGGCTAAGGCCAAGGCAGCAGCAAAGGCAGAGGTGGAAGCAAAGGAGAAAGCAGAAGCCGAGAAAAAGGTCGAAGAGGTAGCTGGAAAGTCCGAGACTGATGCTCCCAAACCAGAAGAGCCTATGACTCCTGAGTCTGACAACTCAGATGAGAAGGAGGTCGCTGAGGAGAAGCCTGCCGAGGACGCCCCCGCTAAACAATCCATCGAAGAAGCCAAAGAATCTAAATCCGATTTTGATTCTGACTCGTCATCATCTTCTGATCAAGACACCGAAGAAGAGGTTGAGACTGACGTTGAAAGCATCGGCACTCTTCTCGACCTAGCTGACCGAGAGATTTGGATCCACGTCGATAACTTCACTGGTGAAGTCCCAGCGTCAGACTCAGACTCGTCCTCCGACTCCGAATCCGAAGCCGGTGACGACACCGAAAAAGACCCCTGGAACGCTGTCGTTGTCGTCGGCATTCGCATTTTCCACAAGGGTCTGGGCGAGGGTGAAGAGGACGGCGACCTCAACCTCAAAGTGATCCGACCTATTCGATTTGGCAAGGATGACGAGGAAGTCGATGTCGAGAATAAGTGCAGTACCAAGGTCTTGGACGTGGACGATAGTGCTAAGGACGCTACGCTCGTGGGAGATACCCAGGAGAAGGTCCGGTTCATCAAAGGGGACAGTGCAAGGAGAAGAACTGTTACATCCATCTTCTGATGTGGACGTATTACGATGTTTAGTTTAGCGATGGTTCAACTGTCTCTTGTTATGATAGCATATGAAGAACTCTACCCAACCTTGTGCTGAAACTTCCATGTTGTACTGTTACCCTTGATAAACTATTCCTGCTCACAGGATATTCAAATTGTGAAACCCAAACGCCAGAGCGTGCAAGCCCATGTCCTATATGCCAACCGGTGCAGGGCAAAGCCATGATAAAAAAAACGCCAATTGTCGTACTCATACTCATACTCATACAGATCTCATACATCAACACATCTCGCCACACATCTTGCTTCTCTGATGCCACTTCGCTTCATTTGGGGGGTTATGGGTGCGTATCAAATCATTTACAACTCTTCTCACTGCATCTGCGCGTCTGTCACTAACCACCACACCACTGCAGCCTCACTCCTCATCCATCAGACCCGCGTCAAAGCAACAACTACATTCAACACAAGCCGTTATGGAGTAGTCTGGTATTCTCTCCTCACAACTTGTGTTATCTGCTTGTGTCTGTCTGCCGTTCTGTAGGACGCCATCCTCCGCATCAAACAGGTTTCTTCTTGCATAGTAACAAGTCACCTGTCGTCCACAAGAAACAGCATCTTATCCCCTCTGGTCGTCGATCAATCTGGCCTTCAGCCCACCACTCTCACGCACGCGTCCACTGGTCTTTTGTGCTCCCGGGCGGCAACACAAGCTCTCCCGAGGCTTGATCTCACCCGCAACCATACGGGGACTTCTTCACTGATCAAAGCCTGAGTCTCTGCGCTTTTCTTTTCCAAGCTCAACAACCCAACACATCGCCTCGCGGGGTATATCCTTCGCAGTGTGCCGTAGAATTTTCGAAAGTCGTTAAGAGCTAGCTGACAGCGTCTGTCGTTCAAATCGTAGTAGTAGTCCTTGGGTGAATGATCCAAAGTTGTGTCTGGGGAAAGGTGCCAGATACGGAGAAACCGTCTAGTGACCCCCTAGTAACCAAGGATCCATGCAAACAAGTCTAGGTGAATGTTGGAAAAAGGAAATTCGTTGGTAGATGTCTTTTTCTGCCAAGAGCCGGTGTTTTCCATACGAATAGGCGTGCGTCGTCGTAGCAGTGCTGCCATGATCATGCATGTTCCCATAGAGTCCGGCTGTTGTCCAGGTAAAAGATAAGAAAGAGGTTCAAAGATGAATTTAGACGGACCGAAGATGCCGTGCAAAGCCGAGGCCAGTCAAACGACGCTGGCAATTGCATGCTTCCGATCAAATAAACAAGAACCGGAACAAAGAAACAATACGAGGGTAAGGATGATGAGTATGTTCGCGTGTCGGCATCAAAAAAAGAAGAACGATTAAGAAACAAAGTCGGAGGCCATCCCAGACCAAAGCCTCAAGAACCATCAGTTCCGAGGGGCCGCTGTTGGGTCGTCTGCAACTGGGGCATATCCCCAACAGCCAACTTCAGTGTGTTGTCTAAGCCACGGGAGCAATAGAAGCAACCGGGGGGGCAGGAACACTGCCGATGTCGACCTCGGCAGGAATCTCGCCAACGTTGCCAACGTTGCCAACGGCACCAACGGCACCAACGGCACCAACACCGGGGGCGTTCTTCTGGGGGCAGTCGCGAGAGATGTGGCCGGCTTCACCGCACTGGTAGCAGGTCTTTCCGGCAGTGTTGAGAGGGCCACCGTTGGGAGCGGTGCAGTCTCGGGAGATGTGGCCGAGCTTGCCACAGGCGTAGCACTTCATAGCCTGAGCCTGGCAATCACGAGCAAAGTGGTTAGGACCACCGCACTTGTAGCAAGTAGCAGGACGAGGGCCACCAGCGAAGCCACCTCGGCCGTAGCCACCGGGGAAACCACCACGGCCCATGGGAGCGCCGCGACCCATGGGGCCAGGACCGACAGGGTTGGGGCAAGCGCGCTAATATACAAAGTCAGTTATATATCAGAGTAACGAGTAGAAGTTGCACATACAGCAAGGTGACCGGGCTGGCCACAGTTGTAACATCGACCGCTGGTACCGGTACCGCTGAGGCGGAGAGTAGGGCAGTCAGCCTGGACGTGGCCTAGACCCTGGCAGTGGTAGCACTGCTTGGCTTCGGTGGTTCGGGGAAGAGGGCATCCGTTGGACTCGTGGCCTTGTAAAAGTTAGATGCTGACGGCTTTCTTAATTTGAAGTTGAACGTACCGGGCTGCTTGCAGTTGTAGCAGAGACGCTCAGCAGAAGAGCAGACCTCAGCGTAGTGGCCAACATTGCCACACTTGTAGCAAGCACGTCGAGAGAGAGAAGACATTGTGAAGGTAAAGTCTAAGTAAGCCTAATTAGTAACAAAGCTTGCACTGGAACATTGCATGCGATTTGAAGCTGCCATTGCTGTTGTTGCCCTGCTGGATTGGAACCGATCACGGTGTTTGGCGCAATATTCCAACAGCTCCGTAGTATAGTTTATAAGCTCTTGAGCTCAGGGGGACAACATTATATCGATTGATCATGCATGTTTCGTCCATGTCAGATTGATGGGACAATACCCCATAACTGTCGGAGAGGCATCTCAAGCTCGAGATATAACCGCCAAACGCCAATAGTTCTAGAAGCATATCCTAATCGAATCATACAGTCGGTCGCCAAAGGAAAGTAAATCGTGTATATGTCATGTCCATCGCTGTGGACGATCATCATATCCGGGCGCTGATATTTCCGGATCGCGAAACCCCGCACTTGAGCTCTTGCCGAGGGGCAACAACAAGGCCAAAGCACTCGTAGAGATGGCGATATCTAGTATTTTTGTTCAAACTGAGCCGTTATGGACCGGAGGTTGCGCCGGGATGTCGGGTCGTACACGGAAGCCAAATACGGAAACCGGTTGGAAACGTTTTGAAGGTTGATTGAAGTATCAATGCGGGATTTCTCGAATCGGCGACAATGATAGCGACAACCAACATATAGAGCGCAACAACAAGTCGATCGATATAAATGCCATTTTCGAAATATTCGAGTGCGAGGGGTTCAAAGTCGAGACCAATAATTCCAGGCGTTGTTGTCGGTTGCGCAATGAAATGGAGGGGCAGCACAGCACAGCACAAATCGCAATGCAAGCGATTAAAAAGCATCAACAAACGTACGTACCTTTGTGGCTCAGGAGGGGGAGCTTGATGGGTATGTAGGACACAAAAGTAAAAAATACTGCCTAATAGGTGTATTTATAATAAGATGCAGACAAAAAGCACTTTCAACACCAAGAAATTATTCAGAGTTGTTTGGTCTTTGTTCCAAAGATGGGACTGGAAGTGATTTTTTTGTAATTAAAAATTTTTCACAATGAGGGGAGCACACACAGAAGGAGCGAATGACACACTACCTGCCTTTTCTTTTCCATACGACTGGGCGACACGACACAACACAACACAAGTGGGAGGAACTAGGGAACCCAAGGGAACCTACCTCCAGGCTCTACAGTACTAACTTACCACCAACGACAGACTGGAATGGTTGGATTTGTGGATTGGATTGTGGGGAGGGGCGACCCAATTCGATATAGTAGCGTACTCTCCAAAGTAAAGTAAAACCCCCGAACTGATGAGTGGCACGAGGGGGGAGGGGAAATAGTATGGGTCGCTCTTTATTAATTGCCTCGGCGGATGAATACACTTGGATGTTGTCATAATGGCCTGGTTCAGGTAGATAGTAGTTATAACTTATAAGTGATTAATGGCTGTCAAAGAGCAGTTATACAATCAGATATGAAAAACTTGAGGACTGAACATTACTCTTTCAGTTCATCCTAACTCAGTTCATATACCTCTTCAAGTTGCTTCTTACTCCTATTCTTTCTCAATTTCAAGTACAATGACACTAGAGAATAAAGAGGAAAGTAGCCGATCATGTTGGTTCCGTCTACCCAAATGGTCCAATCAATAGTTATCCAATGTCATTCTTTTCAACTCTTCTCCTAACTAACACTTGCAATAGCGAGTGGCCAGTGATCATTGAATGAGAGGAAGCTTAGTCCAAGTAAACTCTTTAGCTAGGAAAGTGGGTTTCCCGTTTGACCGTTCCTGCCAAGAATGATGCACGTTAAATGTCAGCAACATGCTTCGAATGACTGACCCTATAACGGAGTGACTCGATACAGAAACCCCTTCAACATAAATTCTCAACTAGCCGGTATCTACTATGAAAGCACTGTTCAATTCCTTACATTTAGAGTAGTCGAGTTTCCCAACCCCAAATGTAAGCGGCAGGGGCCAGAGCTGAGTGATATAAGACCCTGTCAAATTTGACGCTTGGAGATGGTTCTTCCGAAAGTTACCAGAAACAAATAACTAGTCTTGGCTTTGCCCTACTTGGGAAAGCGAAATAGGTTGGTCCTGGCCATGGTCAAACATTCACCTGCTGAGTATCATTGCTACTGGGATCATCACCAAGTACTATGCTTAGATGGAAACAAGTCCGTGATATTGCTTTTTGCTATCTGCATCTCTTAACGCTGTAAGATTCCCCGAAGACTCCCAACTTGTGTTTCAGAACAGCAACAATACTACCTATGTAAACGACGCTAATATGTGGTTGCAATGCCGTGGATACTCGTATACGCTCAAATCAACAATGCCCTTCATCGGGCTCTGGGGTGTTCGAATGCTTCTTGCTCTGTGTAGCTAATTGTATGGGTACGAATTCTGAGACGCTCTTAACCACCTCCTTACTCAGTCGGCACCCGACTCACTCTGCCCATCTCTGACGGATGAGTGGGAAGAGGGACGTCAGTGGTCGGCGCTGTAGATCGAGGTTGTGCCTCAACTACATACGATATACCATCCTCGGACGCATATGAAGGTGGCCGGGGGCCAGATCGTGTATTGGGTCTCATCTGAGAAATATCCACATTCTCATTACGTTGCCAGAACAAACGATTTGGATCAACTCGCTGCAAGCTGTTAGGCTGTGACCGCAGATCGTTACTTGGGACTTTTAGAACTTACCACTGTCTCACGCCAACGGCCGTAAGCAGGAGGCATTATTTTTGCCGCTTCACTACCCCCGCCAACAGCCTCCTCGTCTTGTGCAAGAACAACGGGAATAGGAACTGGGGGTACTGCATATCGTGGGCCACGGTATCGAGGAGGTCGATTAGCCCGCAGAGCAGCCTCTCGGTTGCCTTTTATTATTAGGAGGCAGAGTCTGATAAGTCCGTGAAAGAAGAAAGCTGCTGCAAATAGGATGACGAGGATGAGCATGATATTCATCTCGCGAGTATTAACCTTGCTGGTCATTGACAAGCAGAGGTCTATGCCAGTATGTTAGTGTTGCATTCGGATATCAGTCTCATAATTGGGGCTGTGACTTACAGACAGTAACGAGTATAATCAAGAACAAACCCGAGGTCATACACCTCAAGATCTGCGCTCGCATACGTCTTGACCTCACCCATGGTATACAACCCAAAAAGTACTTTGGGTGTTGCTCACGACTTCTACGTGATCTATGACCATCGCGCCCTCCCTCACGGTGATCCCTCCTCCTTCTTTGCCTGTTAATGGGTCCACCAAGAAGTTCAGAGAGATGCGCTTCTAAAGGGGAAGACGAAGAGCTTTGTTGACGACGTTGGCGTCGGGATTGTTGCGATTCTGAAGAGGGTGTGGCGACAGGTTCCGGTCTCGTAGGCGACAAAGACTCAGCAATGGGTAGTAATGGAGAGGGAGAGGCTGTCGCATTGCGAATATCGTCGGTTTGCGATGGATTGCTGTTACAGCCCCATATTCGCAAAAAGTTTGGTACCGCAAATCGTCGACAACTGTTGAGTCGGTTCGAATTGGAGTCTTGGGATTTGACGCTTTCGATTTCGGGGAGCTGAGGTTGTCCAGTCATTGAAGCAGGTTCTCCGCGACCCAATAACCTTGACAAAGGTGCAATTCTTGGACGAGACTCTGGCATGTTGGGTTGTTGGTGTCCGGCTTCGATATCGACATCGGCGTTGGCATCAGCATTGGCACTGCCTTGATTCGAATTCCCATCTCGCTCCATCCGTGATCGTTGTATAAGATCAGCACGAAGCCTCTCCATGTCGGTACGATCCAAAGTCATCTTTTTCTCAGCGGGGACCGAGGCAAGTATATACGGTGCGATGGGTACCGTTATGTACGACTCAGGTAAAGCGACTAAGATGGCGCTATCGTAGATTTTTGACAAGGTAGCGAAAGTATACAAACATACGATTTACACGGTTGTTATGATGAAGACAAGTTTTGTTGTACCATCACGGTCATTATTAGTAGAGAGAAGCAACAAACACGTAGAAGGAAAGAGAGCAGAATTAAAAATAAAAAAAAATATAAATTGTTCAAGAAACCTGTCTTGAACGTGAAATTGCGACTGCACGCACACAACAAGGGACGACGAAGGCGGACGAGAAGAAACGATGAGTGACAAGAAAACCAATAAAAAAGAGGAGACAAGAGTCGATAAATCACAGCCAAACGCAGCCCGTTCAGCTTCGCTATGATCTAATTATCTAGCTAGTGGGCTCTCGAATGGGCAGATGCCCCGGTTAGACGTTTGTTATTCATACACACACAAGGATCCCTTTTCTTAACCCCCTTGATTGACACAACCGGCCCATGTCATGACAACCTAGCTCAGCTTCTAGCCCAGGTCTAGATAGGTCACTTGCAGTAGAAAACGGGTCCTCCGAAAGGGACAAACCGTGTGTCAGGGATCTCACGATCCTCGTGTTCAAGGGTGTTGGCTGTAAGCTTATCAACACTTGGACAGACGTAAACAAATTCTCCCTAGGAACTAATGGTAAAATCATACCAACCAAATACTAGTTAAAACCGTTTGTGTCGCTGTTTGCGGAAGAAGCATTCGTTCAATTGGTCTCAAGCGCATCTGCTAAGAAATTATCGCGCAACACAGACGGCTGATCAAGCTGAATGGATTGGCCGTTCCTTGCGGTAAAAACGTGGATTGTGGAGATCTACAAATTACCTGCCTAGTCCGAGCACCTTATCCAGGGGTAAAACATAAACCAGGCCAACTGCAGCAAAGAACTAGCCTTGATGCGGCTGTCTTTCTGACTCCTGTCACTGTTGACAAAGCTTGGCCGTCTCGGGTTGGCTTGAAAGCTCATCACGATCAACCAGGTCTGATGCAGGGAGAACAGAATATGAAACCTTTAAATTCTGGCTATTCAATTGTGTGGATGAAAAGATCATAATTATTGAATAGCTTACGAGGTATATGGTTGCAGTGAACGTTTGGCAAAAGCCCATCTTTAACTCTGATTGGCAGGCATCG